GTGCAGTGTGTGGTCTAGCGTTGTCGTGAAGTAGCAGTGGCGTGGAGCGATTGATCAGCCTAGGTTGTTTAGCCGCTAGCTTTTCCATCATGGTTTGCAATTGCTGACAATAGATAAGTGACGCAAACAGAATAAAACAGAAGAAAAAAATAAATGAATGACGGTCATCGAAGCACAAATACATGAGTAAATAGCTGTACAAATTTGAATTTGAAATTCCTTACATCGTGATTAAAGTGGCCAGTACGAAATACGCCAATTTCATATGTAAGGACCTAATATTATTCATGACTTTTTTATTAAATTTTATTGAATTAAGTTAATTTTAAATAGGATATATAAATAAATAAATCCTTTATTTGCCTAGACAGTACATATTATGATGGATGAATTAAGAAAATACACACAATCATCCATATTAAACTAGCAAAAAAATTCAATTAAAAGCAAGTAAATTATTTATTATGTCATATTCTATGTTACGATGTCAAAACTTATACTATCTCAGATAATAGAAGTACCGTGCCTTCTTAAAATCTAATAATTGAATGCTGCGTTAAAGGTACACTGCCACAGGGACATAATAAATTTGTTTTAATATTCTTTTGATCAATTTTTAATTATTTTTATTATTACTATGTAGGTTAAGAAAAGTTGTAAATACTGCATATTTAAAAGTAAATTCAAAAGCATAACAACATACACACGTTCTACTATTATAAAATTCTTAAAGAATAAGACTTATAATATCGTGGGATAACAAAGTATTTTTGTCCTATATATTGTATTTAGTTGCAAGGGTGCGTCTGCATCTGGCGAATGCGCCGCGAATGTGCAGCTCGCTAGCCGTTTGCGAGCTGCGCCCGTGCAGTCACGGCAATGGTTTGGTGCGCCTTCTTTAGCGCAACTCATGCAAGGCTCGTAAAAGGCGCGCAATCTACGCGCACTCAGTTCTCGCGCTTACAGTTCCGTTTACTGGCGTGGGCGAAAGGAAGACGCGAGCCGCTAGCGCGCCACCCGCGCGCTGAACGCGTACGGCGCTTAGGTTGCACGCGAACTGCGCGCGGGCGGCGCAGGAGCGGCGCGCGAACAAAAATGCACGCGCGCAGCTCCCAAACTGCTCGCGAGCTGCACATTCGCGACATATTCGCCAGATGTGGACGCACCCTTAGATGTTTTGGAGTGATGCCATACGCTATTTTAAAACTATTCTTGTCCCTATCATTTGAAAAGCGAAATCCAATTTATGACCATGAATAATATTCGTGGCCTGTCTTTTAATTACTATTGTTATTCCCTATTTCTTTGATATTGTCATGCTTTGAAACTTAGCGAGATAATTGATTGTGGTATTTTAATCGATTTTAAACATCTATAAATAGTTGTTTCAAGCTCTTGTAGATGGAGATTATCAGTTCAACCTTTATTATGTGACATAGCCTTCCAAACACATGTGCAAACAATATATATGTATATCGAGACGTAAGACGTCCGTCATATCGAGACGATCCCCTTAAATTGATTTAGGTAGGTAGGATAGTTTAGCTTTCATCAAAATCGTTTGAGGAGTTTTTGAGATTTTCTACGGTTTTTTAGAATAACACGTGTATAAATTATATTGACAGGTATTTTAAGTTTATTTTTTAACTATTTTCATTGAGGTTTTACTAAAAATATCCGTGTTTTAAAAGTATGTACTAACTCTAAAACTTCAATAGTTTTGCCATAGAAGAACGCAATATATTGTTTGCATCAAAACATGATCTATTCCTCTTAAACTATAAATATGCGTATCAGATAATTTTAAATCCGTGAGTGGATTGGTTTGTTGGCGAGGATAGACAACAAAGTATATTTGTTTCATATATCTATAGAAATCCTTGTCTATTGATTGCATGATTGCTATTCTGTGTCACTGCTTTTGCTTCGTTTTGCATCATCTGCCACAATTGTACAAACAATAGTATGACCTTGTCGTGACATTTGCTTAACCTTCAAAAACAAGGCCTCGTTAAACCGAATAATCCTATTTGTAATGGCGGAACGGAAACCATACAATTAAGAATAAGCAAATAAAAACTTAATTTTTTTATTAACATTTAAATTATTAAATTGTCCAAATTGATACAAAAAATACACGGTTTTTGTACCTATTGTAAACAAGGTCAATAATTCTTTGAATTTTGTATTATTTTATGAAATGATTTCGAGTATATTTTCTAAAATATATATTAAAACTGTTCTTTCTAAACACTTCGTCAGGGAGGAGACAGTAGTGTACCACTGACTGGTCGGCTCAAACTCCGCGGCCCAGTGTCTTAATGTTGCGAAGTTCTATATCTCTATATATATACAATTCTCGTGTCACAATGTTCGTTCCCATACTCCTCAGAAACGGCTCGACCGATTCTTATGATTTTTCATTTATTTTTTAATTAGGGGTGTATTTTAAATATTTTTTAGATTTTTTTTTGTTTTTAGTTTTTTATGATACAGCATACAAAAATACATACAACCCCTAATTTTCACCCCTCTACGATCAACCTCTATCTTTTATTATAGCAGATAGTTATTTTTATTGAACTAAAATAATGTTTCTTAGAAATAATATACATGGCAAATCAACGTTTGTCGGGTCAGCTAGTATTATATATAAAAGAGACACTTTAATAGTTTTTAAACGTGCTCGTATTGTATTTTGTAGGAGTTGCAACTCTAACTAGCATCTTATCATCTCTTAATTTTAAAATATGAATTATTTTATTTTTCATAATAAATAATCAAAGCCAATCAGAAAAGATTTCTATTAGACCGTTTCTAGATTCGAGAATTAAATCTGTATTTTATCAAAAATATATAGTGATATAATCTTAAAAAATCTACCTTTATAATGGGCTTGTAGTCCAGAATATATTTATTTGCTTCTTTTAGACAAACATTGTTTCGTCAATATACATTCATACAATCAAGATCGCCAGACTTCAACGTCTCATTATGCTTTTAACACGAAGCAATTTGTACCAAATGTGTGACTCTGAAAGCAAATTAGTCGGGATATAGCTTCCAAATGTGTTAAAGAGGCTAATTTTGAGCTTAATACTAAGTGAGAGGAAGCTTGTTCTTAAAATAGAAATGCGATAAACTGCTACTAAGTATAACATATGTATGTAGGTCTGTTTCTATACTATTGTAAAGGGAATAAGCTCAAAAACTACTACACCGACTGGCTTATGCTAATAAAATTGCTATAGAAGTATGTATTAAGATAGGTGCTAAGGATTGATTTAAAAAGGATAGTGCGAATTGATAATCGTTAAATGATGTAGGACCATGCTGTATGTTGAGACCCCATATAATATCTATATATATTATCCTTATTTTCCTGTACTCCTCTTATAATTTCAATCATATATTGATAACTACTTGGTTTTGGATTTAATGAAAAAAAATGCTCTTTACAGTTTTAAGTATGTATTGTCAACCTTGTGAATGGAGGAAATGCATCAGTTATAATAATTGAATTAAGAGAATAATCATATTCTTTTGTTTTATGCTGTATGAATTAAAAGGACCCTAAAATTTAAATTAGGAACTAATTCAGAGACCACAGACCAATAATAAGGGTTTGAAAGTTTATTAAGAATTCATAAACCGAAATTACCCGCCCATTAGGTTCACGACGGGAGTTTATAGCATCGTAAATGTGTGAAATGAGTGTTTGATCGTATATAGGTTAAAGTAGGGGTCTGGTAGACCCCACTGTGTTGACGGAACAAGTTTTGCATTGATTTATATTGAGCGCTTGTCTTGAATTATGTTACTTTACGAGTAAAATCGTTGACGCCATGCACTCAGTACATACTGTATATAAATAATACACAGAGAGCACCTCTAGAAACAAAGTATTTCCGGGATAAAAAGTTCCTATCGCTATACTACTACAACTGTCCCTTGATGAAGGGAGTCCTAGACCTCTGATCTAGGTCTGATGGACGTGAAACACAAACAAAATTTCGATCTAATTACCTAGTTTTTAGAACAAATTACTCAAAGACAAAAACCTTTTTGAACGTAAAGAAGTACCGGACGAATGAACACTTTCGTAAATTTTGTTTCAACTTATTTTTGCGTACAAAAAACAATTAACAAACGCAACAAAGTAGACGCTTCCTTTCTCGGAGGCTCTATGAATATTCAGGCTATATAAACAAGGTCTTGTAAAACAGCCATCAATCAGTACCTGTAGACGTAACCATCTAGTTTTTGTCCCAGTGTTTGAATCTCGATAGAAAGTGCCGCGATCACAAGTTTTATTTCCTTGTTAAGTTAAACTGGTTTTTCTTTTGAAGTTATTGTCGTTTGAAATCATAAAAAACTAAAAGTCTGTGTAGCATTTGACAAGGCGATAGGCGTTTTTAAAGTGGTATATAAAACATGAATTCTTATTTTTGTTTGGAATATTTGGGGCAATTTTAATATAGAATTATTGTGCAGTTGCCAATATCTCGACGACTATTACAATTATAACTTAATAATTTATTCTGTTATTAAGTCTTAAACTTAGCCTTTAAGTTTAATGTTGTGTGTAAGAATACAGGAAAGCAAAGCAATCTCACGTTATTATTTTCGCATTAGAAAATTTAATCGAACTTTCATCCAGTCGGTACAAAGTTTGAGAAAAATAAAATTTCACCATATCCAAGAGTTTAACTTACTCTGTATATAGGTAATATAGGTAGTATGATACATATATATATTTGCCTTTGATTATGTATTTGCCTTTTTTTTTTTGACTGTAGCGGCATCTGTTGAGTCTGATTGGGCATGTAAGTTGTTACATTTAAAAACAAAAACATTTTAGTATTTTTTAAAATAATAGAAGAATAAATAGAGTTTACTTATTGAGGTACAGATCCTCTTATTTATTTAGCAATATATATACTAATATTTTAATAAAAGTTTCGTACCAATTCCTTCTATAAAATATGTTTTCATTCCAGATTCATTCGTGAACAGCCAGGAATGGACATCCGCTCGCGGTGTTACCGAGCTCCGTGTTGGCGTTCTGGGCTCCCCGGACAGTGGAAAGTCAGCGTTGGTGCATAGGTACTTAACCGGAGCCTACATGCAGGAAGAAAGTCCCGAAGGTGAGTGTTTTTTTAATAGAAAGGTCTACTAAATGTTTCATACCGCCTATAAATAAACAAATAGAAAAGTAATATTCAATATAATACAAAAAAGCGCCACCTATGTTTTTATATTGACATGTATGAAGCCGCTTGAATTTACAATACTAAATTATGCATTTTTATGCTTAGTGGAGTTGCGGATAGATGGCGCTTATATCAAATATTGTAATGTTATTAAGTTGCCTAGATGTCGTTGTTGTTATTGTGTTTTTTCTTTAAGATAAGATTTCGGCCGGGCATATGTGGGCTTATTGTTTCCATAGTATTAAGCACGATCCCGGCGGAAGTAAAGTCTTTAGATTTAACTTAGTTTGTCCTACAGGAGTATGTAACTTAAATTTGTTTCTATAGGCGGCCGTTTTAAGAAAGAGGTCATTATCGACGGACACAGTTACCTCCTACTTATAAGAGATGAAGGCGGATCACCCGAGATGCAAGTAAGTATAAGGTTTAGGTACCTATATTTAATTAAAGCTTTGATTATAAACATGCATCATTTTTTCCCCCGTTATATTTAGTGTATTTGAAAAGAACGGGCTTATGGTACGGGTAATGATTTTAATTTTGATAGGGCAGTAAGAAGTCTAAGTACAATTTTTTAAATATTAGATAGTGTATAATATGATGTTTATTTTAATATACTGAAGCAAAACCTTCAGCTATTTACATAAGTATGAAAAGGGACATCAAAGGAAAGGTCTTCAAAGACAAATCTTATATTATCTTCGCCGACAATATCAACGCTGTTACTAATAATAGTTCATACTGACCCGATTAATCGTTATATTCATCAAACATACTTAAGTACATAAATTCTTAAAAGCTCAAGAAGTTCGTTGCGTTCTAAATGAACGAACTTTCAAAGTTACATTATTAAAGCCTTAATACTGAAATGATAGACTGAATAACTCCCTAGACTAATTCTCAAAGCAATTTTAATTTCTAGTGAGCCAATAAATAAGTCAAAGCGCAAAACTTTGCGTCTATTTCAACTCAGTGCTTTGTACATTGACATAGAGTCATAGACAGTCAATGTCCTTTAACGATAATGTGTTATACATACGTATATATTTATTGTATTTATGTATACACATAAGAGTGAAATTTTAGTTTAGTTTTTAAATTTGCGTCAAAAGCAATGCTTAAATTACATAATTTTTCTCCCGAAAGTTCGTAATAAGTGTTAATTTTATAAAAACGTAAGCGAGGTCTCTTATCAATTATATAAAGAAATCAAAATATACTATGAGTGGTTCCTTGTTAGAAACAATATAAATTTCCACATAATGGTTTCGTAAAACATTGCGGTGGAAGGATGATGATGGTGATGAATCCAACCTCAAGGGAGGATCCTCGACCGTTAACCACTGACTGGCCTGCCCGAAGGCCCCTTTTTTGATATCCGAGGTGGAAACGTTTTCCGGTGGGCCCAAAGGCCCCAGTGACTAAGGTCGAGATGTTTTATATATCCTTAGCGATTAATTTCGTTAGCAATGTTGTAAGACGTCATCGCAGTGATTTGTAAGCTCAGATGGTAAATGTCGCTAAAAATTCATAAAATGACAGATCTTGTAAACAATATTCATCAGGCGAGACAGGTGCAAAAAAGTGTCCCAAGCACTAAAAAGCTTTGTGGAAGGGAATTTTAAGATTAACTTAAATAGTGCCATGCGTAACCATGCGTAATATACAATTACGCATGGTCACACGTAGGCGTTGATGCCATGTTTTGTAGTGAAATAGGATTTCCGCGTTAACGTAACCTAAATAACGGGCGTAAATTATGTCATTTAAGTAATTGTTATCCAAGAATAGAAGGAATATATGTGAAAATTAACTCATGAAACTTTTCACTTATAAACTAGAATAAAACATAGGCTAGTCTATTCTGGCATGCGCTGCCAAAACCTCTAGAGTTACATGTATGTAATGTATGATGGAAATTTTTATCTTAAATATTCCTACCAAAAAGCTCCTGTAGCTGTAAGCCTTTATAGCCAAAATCGTGAACCATAACTAAGTACAATAAAAAGTTATAATTTATTTCAAATGCAAATTTTTTAGTAATAAATTGTTTCCTACATGAAAATAGATACTTTTATCGCTTCTGGTATTTAAAGTAGATAAAATATATTCACGCTACATCATTTGGACAAATATTATTTTAATCCTACGCAGGTGAAGTCGCGGGCACCAGCTAGTGTTTCATAAAACATAAATGTATATCCAACGCTCCTGTGCAGTGGTGTGAACCGTAATTCAGGAACAGTTAAGAAATAAAGATAATATCTAATATTAAATTAAGTTTTTATTATAATGTGTAAAGTAATTACACATTGTATAAATAGGTACCTAAATAAAATATTACTAAGCAATAACTTATCGTTTTCGATCAACAAAGTTCCAATTATGAAGTTGATTACAAAGTTGACAGCGCTGACATTATGACTACATGTACACCACTTTATCGATTTTAGCTGAGACGAGAGCAGACTCCCCTATCCATCATCTTGAACAAAATCTCCCTACACTTTTTAATGTTCTCAACAAAGACAAATAAAAAAGGGGATTTTAGCTGCTATTGTTTTAGCATGGCGCCATACAGTCGGCACGTATAGTCAATAGAGGGTTTTTCCTAAGGGTCGGAAAACAGCCCTTATTGATCTGTGAAAGTACTACTCTAATTATCGTTAGGCAGGTATATCCTGTTGTTACTATTTCACTGTTAAATATAGTTTTTTTAAATATAAAAGCCGGAATTTTTGGTTGTCTTACGTCTTTAGGTGGGTACGTAAGTGTACGGTGTTGTAGGTTATTATGATGTGTATGATTTTATTATAACATTCGGCCTGTTGAGAGATACTCTGAGACTATTTAGGGTGCTGCTTTATAAAGTATTAACGGCTCGCTGTCACTGTCACATTCTACATTGTCAAGTCTAGTATAATGTTGAAAATCATATAATAAGGTCCTAGTAATATGTCGGTGAGATAATTATATTGAAAACCAGTTCGTGATCTTTCATATTTAACACAATAGAAACCGGTCAAGTCGTCAAGGATCACGCCGCACGCGTGAATATAGATTCTACGCATCTTTGTTACGACTATGAACAATTTTGGTACATCAAAAAATACTTATTTTAATCATTATTTTACAAATTAAAAATATGACTTAAAACTTGTACTCTGAATGGGTTCCTTTTTGTATATTAGTTTGTTTTAAAATGGAATATCCTACCTATACACATTACACAAGTAGGTACTTACCCATATTTCAATGAAATGTTATTCTCACTACAGATTAAATTAATAAATTGCTGGCTATTAAAACATATGATAAAATTTCTAATTACTCAACCAGATAATCCAAATCGGTCGGATTCTCTTGGTCCGAATAAAACACTAATAATCCGCCAATTAAGAATGTATTAAGAAATACCTTTTTTTATTTTTTTTATTTAGAAGTATTTTCTCAAATACTCTACTTTGTTTCTACATTTGTCAATTTACCTCCCACTTCTTGGCTATTTGGGACTCAAATGTAATAAAACACTCGTTATGTACTTATTAACTTACATAGTAAAACAATAAGGCATGTTGTTTGTGACAAGCCAATAATTAGTATTAAGAACTTCGTACTGGAGAGATCGTGGTGTGTTTTAACAATTCGGGCCTCCGGTAAGATAATCCAGAACTGATGTTTACTTTCACATTTATTCATTACTCTTATATGTATTATGTGAATGTCTAGTCGTGCATTCTCGTGATAATTAGGTAATTTGCTACAGGATATTAAATTCGTTATCTGTCCAACTCATTCCACATTTGGTATCTATATGTCCTGAAAAGATAAGATTGTTATAGCAAATGTTATAGATGGAATTGTGATTTATCTTAACGTTATCATAAATTAATTAAAATTTAATGTTGGACTAAACAAAATATATTTAAAAAATCAAAATAAAATTTTATTTCTATAGAAATAACGTTAAATAAATAGTAATACTTTACAGTATTAACACAGCAATAATAGATTTCATCTCCAGTATATTTTGTTAAGCCATAATATAGGTAAATGCAGGGTTTGGACATGAGTGCATTCACTAAGGCTATCCTTTTCATTTCCCGTTGTGTGAGCAAGACGGCAAATATGGAGGCTATGCAAGGTTCTATACCGCCGCCCGCCCGCCCAGTAGCCTCCCGAACACTATTCCGTTCGTACAAATCGTTTTGTGAAAATCTTATATACTACTTTAGCAAAATATTCTTTGCAAATTATATTTTTCTAAAATTTTACCAGTAGATAAACCTTGTGTTTGTTTGTCATAGGATACATCATAATCGGGTGAGTTATTTCTGACGTAGAAAAAATAATTGTTATTTAATTTCAGTCCTTGAGTTAGACCAGATTGATTTGAGTTAATGTTAGGATCTATTTTGTATTTTTTTACCAATTATTTAGAATTAATGCGTGATAAATACTCGAAAAATAATGAATAATTTGATTACATATAAAATACCAATCATTAGCAAGTACAGTTAAAAAAAAAATTATAGAAGAAATAGGCATTACACAGCTAAAAAAATTTCTAATTACAAATACATCAAAAATATTTTATTATGATTTCATAACATTGCTTTTGTATGTATTACCAAAGACCTATACAAGGTATAACACAACTATGTCTTACCTAATGTAATTTATTTTAATAGAGAGGTATCGTTAATTAAAAAATTTGGCCCTTATCTTTGACAAATCATACTTTAATAATTTAGTTTTGCAATGTGGGCATAATTTGCGCTTATTTATGTCATTGATTACAATATATTATATAATTATTCCGAATCGCAAGTTAATTTCAAATAGTTTTTTATAAATTCGGAATTATATTTTATCTCCGTGTCTCTACATATGTAACCCACTTACTCACTCAAATCGTAACATCTTTATATTAATTTTTACACTAGTCCTAATTCTATATTTATTAAATTTTGTAGCTAGCTGGTAACACTATAGCTGTAAGTACGTTAAACATCCAGACGAAACCCAACCCTTCCAACCCTCCATATGATAGCGGAATGACCCTTCATCGTTACGGTAAAACCATGGGAGTGGTTTTTACCAAGCTAAGTTATTATTAGGGCTAAAACTTAAACCTGGATTTCTTTTACTCTGATTTCCTCGATGAAAATTAAATTGCGAGTTCTTTTGCAATCATTTTATATGTAACCAGCTGACCCGTCAAACGTTGTTTTGCCATGTATATACGTATTATTTCTAGGAAACATTTTTTTAGTTCAATAAAAATAACTATCGACAATAATAAAAAGTAGGGGTTGATCGTAGAGGGGTGAAAATTAGGGGTTGTATGTATTTTTTGTATGAGCCGTTTCGGAGGAGTATGGGAACGAATTAGTTGTTAGTATTAAATTAATGATTTTTTTATTGTTGCAGTTCACCGCATGGGTAGACGCAGTTATCTTCGTGTTTAGTTTAGAAAACGAATCAAGCTATAATACAGTTTCAAATTACTTCAACAAAATGTCACATTATAGAAATTCTGCCGAAATACCAATAATATTAGTAGGAACACAAGGTACCTATTTTTTACACATCCTGCTTGTATATTTTATGGTTTATGAGTCTATATTTCACTATACATAGCGATTACGATGCGTTTGATGCTTCCGCCAGTTATTTCATATCTAATGAACGGTGGCTTTTCCAGATGCCATAAGTGAAAGCAGTCCTCGAGTTGTGGATGATAATCGCGCTCGCAAGTTGTCAAATGAACTCAGAAGGTGTTCATATTATGAGACATGTGCAACGTATGGATTAAACGTTGAACGAGTGTTTCAAGATGGTATATAAATCTTTTTATCAAAAAAAAAATATATATTTTGAATAGTTGTCAGTTAAGAATAAGTTTGTGTAATTATGAAGTATTCTATGTGTAATAAAAAAATTCAATTAAAATTATACGCTTATTACGTTGCAAATGGCACCTACGCATTTTGCATTTGCGTCAGGGAATTATCTTGAAGCGCGGTAGGTGGCAAATGGGGAACTGGCAACACCGGCCCCAAGTCGAGCGCGGAGCGGTCGTGTCATTCGTTCCGCATTGTTTACATTTTTGACAGCTGTTGTTTTAATGTTTGCCGGTGATACGATCGTTACGGTGAATAATTTTAGAAAATAAAGAAAACTTAAATGGATAAATCAGTTATATTCAAGACAAATATGTCGCCTATATCCAGTTTGAGACGTCGAAGTTCCTGTTACAATATACAGAGAGCAGAAGAACGCGACCGTCGAAAATCATCTAAATTCGAATGTGCGTGTTGTTTTTACCGTTTAAAGACCTTTCGTGTGTAGAATTAATATATTAGTGAATAGTTTTTGCATATAATGAAGTGTGTTTCAATACGTGTAAATATGTGGTGGTGATTTTTTCAGCATGCCAGAAGATCGTAGGTACGCGGTTGTCTGCTTCATCCCAATGTCTTTCTGGTTCGAGGCCGGTTACTCCACAACCGCTGGCGAACTCACCAAGCCATAACCATTCCACATTTCTATATAAGGTGAGTCTATATTATTGTGGCTTAATTATAAATTGTTGTGATCACGCTTCATCAAACTGCGGCCTTGATGAAAATCAATATGTAATTAATAGTTTAGCTATTTTACCTTCACTATTCGATTTAAATTTTGTATAGTTTATAAAGCACCCCAATTTGTGTGTAATTACATAAAATTTACTTTAAATATAGAGGTCCTTTAATATTAGGTTTTTTAAAAACCATTAATAGGCCATTTATTTCATTGATAGCTAAAACTTGTAAAATAAGATATCACTTCTAGTGTTATAATCTAGAAACAACAATTCTTGATAATATTGTCAAAATTCTAGTAATGATAATCTTATCAAATAAAGAAAAATATATATTGATAAGTGGTATCAAATCTAAGATTTAGTTATAGAAATCCTGAAATTTTTTCCTGTTTTTACAAGGCTTTGTTCTTTATTATAGAATCTTTATTGGAAAGTTACCTTAACAACTAAAGGTGTCTTTCTTTCTTTTTCTTTTTGAGAACATTTTGGTATCTTGAAGAGTACATAATTCTTATTATTCCATTAGTAATACTGAGCTGAAAAATCATTGCAATATCAGAATAATAAAAATTAAGAATAAAGTATTAACTGCACTATGAGCTATGTCTATTGTCTAATTAGCAGGGAAAATTACTAAATACAATGGATAGGAATGTACTATATAATTCCTATATGTTAAATGCTTTCTTGCTTTCCTGTTTTTTATGTAAACATGAATATTTAGCCTATATTCATGTTTATTATTTTATTCATTTACATGTAAAAGTAACTTATAAATTATATCATGCATAATATGAATGTTTTAATTTAAGAACAGAGAAGATATTACTATTCTATATGAACAAATTACATTAACATGTTTTTATGACATATAATGCGTGGAAGGTATCTATTATATTATGTGTAAACATGACGAAAAAACTATAAAATAAGGAATTTTGTCAAAGTGTATCTTGAGATTAATTATAAATATGTTATAGTAAAACTAGAAAATATCTAAATAAAATTGCATGTTAACCAAATAATTGCTAAAACAATTTTATTAAATTTTGATGAGATATATTTAAGAATTAACAAATCATATATAATTTTATATATGGTTTGTTGGTCATATACTACATATAAAATAGTTGGCGACAATAAGTTATGATTAACCAATCACAAACAATAGTTCCCTTCATAACCAATTTAGGTTCCTTAGATGGAATCGAGTTTCATTAAAGGCTTAAATTGAAATTTGTAGTTCAAATAACCTTTAACTGTGATACAAAATTTAAATGCAATTTTATACTATGAATCAGACACTGTTGTATGGGACAACTAAGTATAAAAAATTATTGGTAAATTAAAGTAATAACACACATTGTCTATTATATATGATATTACTGTTATCTTCTATATTTAATTTTGTACTTAATTAAACATGTTTACTAAGCATACCTAAGCATCAACTGAAGTCTGAAACAAAAGATTGTCCATTTCAGGACACACTACCACGAAGTCATCACACATTGTCAGCATCATCACACCACTTACACAGAGGAGCATCATCCTTTGACGCATCTTCAAATAGCAGCGGCATATCTTCTACACACGTAGTTGAAATTCACAGCACAAATGGCTCAGATACCTCATCCCGGTGGGGAAATTCTCTGGGCAGCCATGGTTCTTCATCTGGCCTTGTTTCCATAGCAACAGAAAATAACAATGTCAAGTACACAACGCAGCACTGTCTCGATAACCTTCAGTCTAAGGAATCAAAAGATCTCCCCACTCCGTCTTCTACTCCAACGACATCACGGAAGTCTAGGAGACGGTCCAATCTATTCACACCCTCAAAGAAAGGTGATGATAGGCTGAAGAACGGTGAGCTAGGGTCGGGACGAGCAATACCCCTCAAGCAAGGCTACTTATACAAGAAGAGCAGCAAAGCGTTGAACAAAGAGTGGAAGAAAAAGTATGTGACGTTATGTGATGATGGAAGACTGACGTATCATCCGAGTTTACATGTAAGTTATTTTATACAGTGAAATACTTAGGTTATTTTAAACGCCAATAAGTGGCTTATAATTTTAAAATTTCTCTCAACCATATAAAGTATCTCTGAATTTATAACCTACTTCCTGAATTTAATAATTGTGTAGTTCATCACTAGATCAAACCATTTGAGGAAGAGTATTTTGTGCTCTATGGCATTGATTTTTTATAAGCTTTCGTATATCCAAACTAAAACAATTGTCTCCATGAAGAGGCCTACGTTCAACATTGACCAATTGAAGTTCACGCTATCGAAGCATTTCATAAAGAATCTATGGAAGTTATTACTAGATCTTTTGTCTATTGTGTTAGGAATGTGTATTTGTTATGGCTGGGATTTGTAACCGGTTTCGCGAGGCTGGTTCAAGGACACTATTGAAGGCGAGGTAATAAAATCTACATGACGGGTTTTAATGAGCGTAATGGGTTTAGGGTTACGTGTTACAATATATTACTACATTGTTATGCACTTTAGACTTAAGATGTTGCCCCAGCCCGCTACAGTATGTATTAGGTAACATCTTGTAAAACTTCGTTTCGAAGTATTTTAACCAAACTATATTCAACGATGTAAATTTTTGGTATTAGGTATTGAAAAACCTATCATTGTTTTATGAAAAGCATACTTTCAAAGTTTTCGAATGAGTGTAGAATAGTGTTAATTGAAAGGGATTTATATCATTCTAACAAACGTAGATACAAATGAAATCAATAGGAATATATTGTGTTAAATTGTTAAAAGTATTATAAAAGTTAAACAAATAAACTAATACTTTCTTTGTAATATATAAGCTAGCTGTTAGGCTGCTTTCCTTTCGGGAAACGGGTTTCAAACTATATAATATTATAGAATCGGTCCAAAAAAAAATTATCGAAAGAAGGAGTAGGAAGCTCGATAAGTGTTTATCACTTGGAGTACAATTTGTCAACGATTAAACACAAAAGTGTCGTGCGTGCCAGTTTTTTCAGTCTAAACTCTCACAATATAAAACCATTTAATTTAATTTATAACTTCATGCTTTAAACAATTGACACTAAATAAATTCCCAGAAATATTAATAACTATCACATTTAATTGGAAAATGTTATATACAACTGATTTTTACTTACAAGACACGAATGTTTCCTTGATATAGCAACATCTTTTTAATTATTTTTCACTGAAATTTCAGGATTATATGGAAGATGTGAATGGAAAAGAAATTGCCCTTCAGTATGTGACTGTCAAGGTACCAGGGCAGAAGCCTCGGGGTTCAAAATCTATTATCACAACAGTCCCAGGATACAATGGTTACACCAACTTCGACATCCATGACAGCATTGGTGGATTATCATTGGGTAAGTGTTGACTTATTAAAAAAATATTATGTATAAATAAATATGTATTTAGAGTAAATTTCTATATTTTTTTTTGCTCATCGTGCAATCAGTCTTCTGACTATGAGCAGATGGGTTGTAGGATGATATGCGAGTTTTCACTCATATTTGATAAAACAATGTAAACCAAATAAAGTAAATAAAACCGTACAAATAATATTAAAATATACATGTGTATGTTTAAAACATAACGAACAGTTTTTTTAATTATTTAAAAAACTAGTGTAAATTAAAATCTGTTAAAATAAATAACCGTTGAATCGAGCTTTCGTCAACTGTCATTTTCATACAAAGGTCTATCCACAGACACCGATACGACCTCCCATGGATAGCTTATATCGTCAGATGGCTATTACAATCCGTCGATTGGTTATTGGCACACTTGTTACAACATTTGGATTATGATTACCATCTCAGATGGTGGATTATGGATTGAGATAGGTTATTGGGTTCGGGCGTAAGAAAGCTGTAAATTTGGATTCTCATTGCATCTTTTATCAATTCATTTTAAATGCTCATTTTAACCGTCAACCTTTATCAACGACTTTGAGTACAACTAAACAACTAAATGTAAATTTAGACCCTCCATTCTTTTAATTAATCTCTAGAATGATGCATAGTTTATGAACATAATTTAATTTGATTACAGGTTACAAAGATAAGCCAACTCGGGCGACGGACAAAGCTCTTATATCTGCATTTGAAGCTATGAAGGAACCGGCTTCTAGCCGGCAGTCGTTAGCTTCAGAGATAGATATCGCAAATGGAACTGACAAAGACACCCCACACGTGAAGAAAAGGCATCGACGCATGAAGAGCAGCGGTGTTAAGAAGGATGAAGAAGGTATTGTCTTGGGTTATCTTAGATGTAAATATCAAAGTATCCTGAATGACATAAATTTGTAAAAACTCACTAAATTATCTAAACAAAACTGTTATTCTTAGTTCAATTTGGTTTTGCATTCAGCATCTACTTGCCATGCATTTGTTCCTAAACTATTAAAACGCCATTTAATCTTAAATGTTTTTTTGAGTGAACTTCTTTAGGGCTTATGGAAAATTGATGAGGTGGCAACGATTGCGCGCGCCCCTATGACACACAATTTGCAGTGTCATATACCGATGCCCAACACTAAACTACAAGTAAAAGTACATGCTGAAGTAAATTCAGGCTGATTTTCGCTTTTTTATGTAACAACAAGAATTTTTGAATGAGCCATGACAATTGACATCTGACAATGACATTTACCTTTTAAACAAATATAGGAGTTTTAATTAGTTGCCCTTTAAAATTAATAATTATATACCTAGTTATTTTCATTATACAAAATATTTTGTGAAATAATATAAAATATTTTTGTGAAAAACGTGCTAACCTTCCTGAGTGCTTCAATACAATTGAGGGTTAACTATCCGTATGTATTATCGAGTATTATTGTTGATTAAAACTGAAACATGAACCATTATTCATTGCTTGTGTTTTGTGCGTTTTGTTACAGCAACTTTTTAGAAATATTCTACGACCCTATATATCAATTATTCTGAACAAAGATTTAAGCACGAATACTAATGAAGGGAGAAAATGAAGGCTTGGAGCGATATAACAGAGAAGTAAACATTTTAATAAGTACCTGCATCTCATCAAAAAAAATGACCACATTATTTAATCAAAACATCAGATTTAATACTAGCAAATATAAGGACAAAAGAGACAAAAAACAATTGATGAATCAGTGGAAGTGCACTAAATTGAATACAAAAAAGAGTTGTCATCTTATCGCCGTGAAACATCAAACAACTGGAGGTGGAAGTGGAACAAAGCAACCCCATCACCCCTTCTCGAGACACAATGGTTTGAAGTAGATTTCTAATGAATTTGATCTGTGATGGTGTCGAGGGTAGGAATCGTTAATCTATAAATATCATGTATGGTGATGTTTCGCAAGGTTCAACCTTTCAAGCAATGCTTAGGCAATATGCTTACAACATCTACTTTTATTCCCCTACAGGATTGTTAGAGATATTGTAAGTTACCTCAAAACATCCATGTTGCACTTGTAGTACCGAAACTCTGTCCTGCCAGAAGTGAGCCCATTCCCACTTATAATGGACAGTGGGTATAATACACCCCTTATGATACCTGAGTGCGAACCACTCACCATGATACTTAAATTAATAGATGTTATTTATATATTTCAGGTTATTACAAATAAAATCATTTTGGAAACAATTGATATCCCAAAAAGCAAATAAAGCCAACAATGACAAGGTAATAAATCAGTTTTGACATAACTTGAATACTAAAAAAGCCAAACAAAGGTGTGCACCAACAGTGACAACATAACTTAACAATTTCGTTTATTTTTTGTAGGATTAAAAAGAAAGGTTAAAGAAAATCATGTCGAACTGAACAACAAGAATCCCCAAACAACTCCAAAGAAACCTACAAGGAAGGAAACCGGTATTATATTTAAATTATCTCTATCTCTAAATAGAATAAAAAGAAAGTTACTCCACCGTCCAGGTCTAGGTCTGTAGCATGTGCTACCAATTATATTATTAACACATTTATATAATTATATTAATAAATTTATAATATGAATTATAAAAAATTTTAAGTTTTGCATGGACAGAGCTTAAATTAATATTCTCTTATTTGTTGCAGAAAGCAAGTAGTTTTGGAGAAGCCTCGTAGATGCACAACCAAGTATATGATTAATTTAAAATTAAAACCCAAAACCGAAATTCTGATGAAGACATTAGAGTCACTTAAAAATAAATAGTATAATGAAATAAAAATGTTTTAAAGATAAATAGTGTTTTATTTGTTTAATGTAAGAGAATAATAATAAATATTTATTTAATTAATTTTTCAAATGTAAACTGAACTTTATTGACTTTAATGGCTCCCTTTTCCAGTCATTGATTATTTAATTGTAATTAATTATTTGCATGCAATCAAAAACTATTTTTAATCAGTGCCAATATGTACGCGCGTAAGAAGTATAACTTCTTACGCGCGTACATAAGCTACCCCTTTTTTTATGTAACAGGAGGCAAACGGGCCGTCCATGGACTCTAACATTTCCAGGAGGCTCGCAAGTGCGTTGCCGCCCTTTAAAATAGATATATGTACCTCATATAAATTAAAATTACAACATAAACCCTAATCTATCTAGCTCCTACGGAACGACTCGCACTTGGCCACTTTTTGGTACAAGGAAGCATTCAAGTATTACGTCACGCAATTTTTGGCGATTGATTGGACCCCCCATGTAACGCGTCGTAACGTTTTTCTGTACCCAAGTATAGTAAAACGTTTCGTGACCACCTAGTGACTCTTTATACCTAAAAGTTACCATTATGTGGTGTAAAGTACTGGAAAGTCGAAAATAATATTAACACGTAATTCAATCCCCGCCCCGTATCGTAACGTTTTACAAAAGGACCCCCCCTCCAAATTCGATACGTAATATTTGAACGCTCCCTAATGAGTTTTCTTAAGGATAATAATTAATCTTTTCAGAGGGTGAAAACGCAACATCCTGTGAATTTACAATAGTAAGTCTGGATGGCAAGCGTTGGCGATGGGAAGTTTGTGGAGGGAGTAGTCCTGGAGCAGCTGCAGCGGAAAGAGATGCCTGGGTTGCAGCAGTGGAAGCGCAGATACTGGCGTCGCTACAAGGACGGGTTAGTACAAACATTCTATTTATATTTAAGTATTGTGAATAGCAAATTACTCAAATAAATATTTTTAGATACAAAACGTAATTGAAGTAGAATCGTTGGATGTGGTAAATTACTTTTTTGTTATGTTGGCAACACTGTTGTCATTATAGTTCGACAGTGTAATAGTAGTTGTCAGTTGTAAACTTAATACGTAATGTGACAAAATCAAAAGTTTTGTGAATATATGAAATGACGTAGAAAATAAGAATTATATTATAGCATTACCGTCATGTCAGTTCTCTTCCCTCACAGATCTACATGATTACTGATTTTGTTTTTATTCGTTTATTGTTCACTTTATATGCCATAGATTATAGTGTCACAAAATAAAGGCTTTGTTTTTCAGTTTCGTTAAAGAAGATTATTGTTATTAAACTGTTTGTTCGTATATATAAAAGACCGCAAAAAAAAAAAAAAAAAAAAACCCAGTTGGGGGGGGGGGGGGGGGGGGGGGCGAACCCCCCAAAAAAAAAAAAAAAAAAAAAAGGAAAAAAAAAAAAAAAAAAAAAAAAAAAAAAAAAAAAAAAAAAATTTTTAAATTCGGGGGGCCCCCCGGGGGCCCTGGGAGCGGGCCCGGCGGTTCCACCAAAATTTTTCTTAAAATGCCTGTTGTACATGTTAAATGTTGTTTTCCTCTGATTAAATACATATTAAAACTTTATAATATTTTGTTTTGTTTGAATTTGCCATCTACTAATGGATATTTCTTTTAAATAAATGTATGTATTTTCAGACGTCCCGTCAGCCCGCACCAACGGGCGCGAATTCAACGGGCGACGTACGAGCTACGTACTACATTAGGAGGGTGAAAGGAAACGACAAGTGTTGTGATTGTGGAGCTGCAGGTTATTATATTAATAATAATATTTATTAAAACCACAATCTAACCGAAACCCTAAACAAAAATGGACTCTACTCAGCTTTAAGTGATTTATACTATCTTGGAGTGACAGCTTCACCCATTTTACATAACACGCTTTACAATATGCTCACTCAGGCTTTCTTAGTTTTATAAGCGTTGCGATTTCCTAAATCGTCGGAGTTACGCCCCGAGAGTATAGGCAGACATAGGCACTCTCTTCAACTATTACAGTGCATTCATTCGTTACATAGCAATTAACAGTTCGTTATTTTGCCTCTATTGTTGTGCGCCAGTGGTTAATAAAGAGTAAAAATAAATTCCTTTACTATTTAAAGCACCCCGATGACCCAGGAATCCTACAATAACATTAATTTTAAAGTGCCTGCTTACATTGTTTTCTGTTTTTTTTCCAGATCCGGACTGGGCGAGTTTGAATCTAGGCGTATTAATATGCATAGAGTGTTCTGGCATACACAGGAACCTCGGCTCTCATATTTCAAGGGTTCGCTCTCTGGACCTAGATGAGTGGCCGTAAGTAAATTTATCAAACTGTTTTTTAATCTCTATCAGATGATCTAAATATTTATAAAATAATGTATGTAAGTAAGTATGTTATTGGTTCTGTGCCTTAAATTCGATATTTCTGTATGAATCTAGAATTTTCGGTAAAATGGATTAAATGATTGCGAGGACTATCGAAAGTTTTAAGATTTTTTAAGGAGCTCGCCCTATGCAAAACATGAGAATAGAATAATGAAAATAATAATGAGAATAGAATCAAACTTTAGATTTCTAGCTAAACGAGTGCGTTAATCTCTAACAATCAGAACTATACTATGACATAACTATGATTCCCGTATGTTTAAATCCAATACATTTCTGAAATACTGAGACTTAGTTATTTTAAAATAACGTTATTTTTATTAAATAATTTATTTTAAAACTTTCTTTTTATTTCCAGTCTCGGTCACGTGAGCGTGATGGTGTCTATGGGCAATACTCTAGCCAATTCCATTTGGGAAGCGGATCTGAGAGGGCACATAAAACCAATCGCGGCCAGCAGTAGGGAGGATAAGGAGCGGTATGTGATTCTACTCTAAATTGCTGGACGCCAAAATCCAAAAAAGTTCATTGTTTCTTTCCATTTTTCGTCATCGTTTCTTGAAGTAGGGCTAATGGAAAAAATATCAGGTGGAGTTGAGTAGTTTATGTATCCATTTTGAAAGATCGATACACGATTTAAAGAACTTAGAACTCGATAGAAAAAAATAAAACATAGCCAATTTTTGACACTTTGAATTCATTTTATGACGAAAATGTATATCGAACATGATTTTGAAATTTACACGATATATTTTATCGCAAGCCAAGTAATTTATCCATTTCAGACAAAAAATTGATAAAATTACATTAATAATATGTTTTACATAACTAATTGTTATTACGGGCCGGCGCGCCTCAGTGCTCCAGCTCTCCACTGCACACCGCAGGCCACCCCGATACACTGCTGTTTCAGTGTCAATTCGTGCTGGGATTGGGCCTTAAGAAAGTCAAAAAAAATTATGAATCTCCAAAATTTAATATTGAGAGTTCTCTTTCACTATTTGATTTTAGCAATATTTTCAATTTCAATTTCAGGTGGATAAGAATGAAATACGAGCGTCGGGCGTTCCTATCGAGCACAGAATCGAGCGTCGTGGGCGATGCGTTGAAGACGGCGTCCGCGCGTGGCGTGATGTCGACGATCGCCAGGCTGTTGGCCGCGCCGCCGCCGCGAGCCCCTTCTCCCACCGAGAGGTCGCTTGCCTTAAGAGCTGCGTCCGCTGCAGGAAATTTGTCTGCTGCCCAGCTTCTTATATGGGTGAGTTGGTAGAGATTTGTTCATATAGTGTTTGAAATGTTAAATGTTGAAGTTTATTTATTTATTTGCTTATCAGTATTTATACAGCTAGTTATTATACAATATCTGAACACATAAACATAAAACAGTTAACAATTATTATTATTACCTACTTATACAAAAATAATATATTTACCTATATAATAAATTGTAAGTTGCATTGATCATTGTAATATATTTAATATAAAAGAGGTAAAACAAAACCATAATATCTGATAAAGGATACCAGAGTTATTTATATTATTTTAGTTTTTAGTTACATTAAATATATCTATTTGCTGGTAATTTCTGCTATAATCTGAAGGTACATGAAATTTATTGAAAAAAAAAAATTTCGACCGTTTTAATAAGTCATATATCGTTAAGCATAATAATAAAACTTTTCAGCACAATGGCAACCCCAACTTTCCGGACGCAGATGGCCACACATGCCTCTTCTACGCCCGTGCAGCGGCGAATCATCTCTCAGGGATACCGACTCAATACCCCAAAAACCTCCAAATCACGTGCCCCCTCCACCCCTCCCCTCCCCAAACTTCTGGAAATACCTCAACTAGCTCCAGCTCGAGTGCGAAAAGCAAGGAAATCGAATGTAATTGCATTATTTTCGAACTCCTAAACGCGCAAAGTTCTGCCAACGCGTTAATAGATATACTACTGGGATTACAAAATAACCAGTTTAATTTCGATGTCGCTGGAGGCTTTGCGACCTTAAGCCGGCCCTCACTTGGCCCAAACCTATCGCTTACTAACGGGAAATGTGGCAGCATTGTATAAAACACGCGAAACATACCTGTGATGGCGGAATAAAATGGTAATTAAAACTAATTCAATTTAGTAATTTTTTTTAATGTTAATCTGTTACGACGATTTTTTAAGATAATTACTAAATTACTGACAAGATACGCACTATCGGAGCTCGTAAAAATATATAAATTATTTATTTGGAATTATTACACCTTACACTAAAAGTTCCGAACAATTTCAATTAACTAAAAAAACTGATCAGTAAAATTATCTATTTATAAGCTGTCGCTTTTCATCATAGCGTAAATAAAGACTAGACTAGACACAGTGCAACCTTTCTTAAAAAAAAATCAGCCTAGTTACCTTTTTGTCTCTTTCTGTTACATTGTGTTTATGCTGTGATGAAAAGAGACAAATGAGTTATAACGGTGCAACTAATATTTTTAAGTATTACTACCATTTTATTCCTGTTATTAGATGCACAAGCTTAATGTGAGGTTACCAAAACACGAAGTATACACCTATAGTGCTATGTACATAAGTATTCTAAATAGTAATTTAAATTTGTTTTTTGAACTATGCTTATTTCAATTGTGCAATATAGTGAAAATGTCTCACACCTATCTGACCCGCTGGTAGGGAAACCTATTTTAGTATTGACTAAGAGTAGTTCTACTTAAGGTAAGATTCAGATACGAGTCTTAGCACTAAGACTTACGTTAAAAATGTATTCCATTTTGACATACAGAAGTAATAGTTCGCGCTAAGTCTCTCCCTTACAAAACAACGCCATGATCGTCGAAGCGAAATTGATAAAATTGTTGTACGAAAACACGCCCTTACGTAAGACGAAAATTAAATCGCGTCGTACTCTTCCTATTGGTTTGTATACAATTTCTATATAGTTCTCTCAATGCTGATGTCTTGGAACAAATCTAAACTTCTATCGTTATTGGAAGCTTCAGAGTAGCAGCTCACAACAACAATTCAAAGTAATAGTGAAGCAATCTTGTTAATAATGAGCATGGTGTAGCAAATCTATTTCAGAGTTAATTATTTTACGGTGCTTTTTTCTAACCTAATCTATTTTTTTGTAGACGATTGACATTTTGTAATTATGTACCGATTAACATAAAAAGTAATCGATAAAAACAATTCTGGCAAAGTATTGAACTTGTAGGTAATTTGAACACATGAATTAAACTAATTTTATGTTTATAAATTTATTTTTAGCTAATTTGTAAATAATACTAAAGTAAAAAATTCAAGTCGAGAGAAAATTAAAATTTATGAAAATTTATTGTTACGTATTATAACAAAAAATGTAACATTATATTCAAATTATAATACATATATTTCCTTGAATTCGTACGTATACGTTTCAATGCGTAAATTACGCTCCAGTTCAGTAATGTGTCGTGGCCGGATCGCGGCCATTTCATGATTCCTTCATGAACCAATCGTAAATGCGTAACATTATTCACCGTAAGAAACGCTATATTCATTTGGTGAAGCATATTCGCGGCACAGATTAGTAAGTATAAACCAGAAACTACTTCCTAGTTAAAAGGCATACGCGGGAGTGTGGTTCCCGCGTTTTTATAAATGTCGGAGAATTGAATCAGTCAATAAGTTAAATTAAAAAAAGGTAAAATAAAAACAATTTTCATCAAACTGATATGGTTATATATTTACGGTGATCGAATCGAATGATGATTTTCGATCGGGCCACGACATATATTGCGTAAATAGGAAATACTTGTCTTTTATTTATAAACTAAAATAACATATTTAGTATTTTTATCTTGAATTCCTATCCAAATAATTATGTGCACCATTTTCGGTCTTATATCGATTTTCAAGGATGAAATGTATCATTGGCATGATAAAGATAACGCTACATGTTCATATAATATGCCATCTAGATAATGGTATGTAATTAGCTAAATATGTGCATATAACAAAAGCATGTACATTATTGATTACTTTGTATATGTTACTGCGTTTTAATTATAGTAATTTTTCACATTTAATCGAACATCACAGTAAATCACCCGAATAAATATTTTCTAGTTGTGTAGTTTGTGTGTTGATCACAAAACTGGTATTCTGCCTTTGAATATTTATTTGTTCGCAGATTATCCATATCTGGAGGAATATCAGTATTAGGTATAGGTAGTTGTTAGATAAATTATTAAATTAGTGTAAAAGATCTCAGCTCAACACTATTTTAGGCTATTTATAATGTCGCTTCCGTAAAAGATGTACTTTCGTACCACTTATAGATAAGAATTAGAAATATCGGTTTATTTGAAATATTTGAAACATTCCAATTTTAAATTATTTAAACGTAGAACCTTAGTATTACTAGTTAGAGATTCCAAAAGAATATAAGTGTTCGCGTTTGCACTTACCTAGAGCATATGGTTAATGTGATAATCCTAAGATTTTTCAAAGTTAAGCCAAATGTACTGAACCCTTCTGTGCCTACTTTAGGTAGTACGCTTTATACCTACTTGTTTATAGATAAGAGATTACGATAAAATGTCTTCTAACTTTCCCTTGATACTCGAGACATCGAGATATTCACGTAGATTAATGAATGCATTTATTTCTTAAATAATTGTATTTGATGCAAAATTCATGTATTATTTACGGATTTGTTTATTTCATATAATTCTTGATTCGGTTTATAAGTCAATAGCACCAAAAATTATAAGGAATGAGATATTTTCCGTGACTTGGTGTTTTGACTTATTACCAGCAATGAAAGACCTATTCTATACTTTTAATAGTGATTCGGCGGAAAAAAAAAAGGGGGGGGGGAAACCCGGGGGGGGGAGTTTTTCATACAACTGTCCCAGAGCCGCGTTAACGCGGCGCTCAGAGAAAAGTCTCACGGGTGATCGCACCCGTTGACGCGCGCTTTGATATTATTAATGTCCGTTTGCTGTTCAGATGGGCGCCACGGGGGGGGGGGGGTTGTTTTTTTTTAATTTTGGTATTTTTTTTTTTCCCGGATTTAAAAAGAGTGAAATTGAAGATACTGACATCGACTTACTAATCGATGAAGTAGAAAAAAGGTCAGCAAGTTGGAATATAGCAAATTTGTATAAAAAAAATAATATAATTTGTATTTTTTTCAAAATTGGATGAACCCAATGGTACGTTTTCTTTTTCTAAATTTTATAATATAACCACAAAATAATAGCCCTCTTCCATCGTCCATTTTCTACGTTCTACCGAACTAGCGGCCACCCCCCCCCCACCATCTACGGGCATCATCTCCGAACGCTCTTCAATTTTGATCGCGCGTTGACGGACCGCGCGTTACATGTGTGCCATAATAGTGATTCGTTATTTGAATAAAGTATTTTAATTTCGTTACCCAGACGTGCGTTTGTTTTTTTTTTTAATTTCGTTTTTATGCTATGTTTGTTTTGTACAGGCCAAAGAGCTTATATTGTACATATTTACGGCGCGCAGCAAGATGCTGTTCTACGATTAGATCTTCGTTATTGTAATTTTTAAGAAATTTGTTGATGTTCTTAATCTTGTGAAATAAATAATTATGATGGACGTGACGAATTTTATTTGTTTACACGCCTTAATAGATCTCTTACAGGCCCAGATTGATGTCAAGAACTTGATTCCGTATCCCGAACACAAGGCCTACTTGGTTAAAAATAATGCCCAACTTAATTTAAACAACTTATAATGAATATTAACTATGAATTATTTATAAGGATGTAATAAAAAAGAAAAAACGTTTGTACATATTTATTACTTAATATATTAAATAAGCATAACCAACATTATACTATGTTTTTAAATCTTTATTAACAGTTTTATTCCAACTACATGCGAAAACCCATAGCTTATGATCTTTTGCTTGTTTCTCAGCATCATCAAATGTCTGAGGCATTACTTTATTAGCTGTTTCTGGTAAAAATATTGCGGTTGCTGCAGCCACTAACGAACAAACAGATAATATCAATATCGGTAGGGAACGATAGTATACCTCTGAATAGACTATGTATGGGGAGAAGATCATGGCAAAAGAGCTGCATATATGAGCTATGTTGACACCAGACGCTCTTACTGCGGCGGGCATTACTTCCGGGACCCATTGAATTGAGATATTATATGCCATATTTAGAACAAACCTCATAGACACGGCGCATGCTACTGATTGCCAACCAGAGAAACATGTAGTCATTATACCAAATACTGAAGTAAGTACTAATAATACGAAAATGAGGACTCTCCTTCCAAATACGTCCATTATGAATCCAACCACCAACGAGGACGGAAGCTCTGTAGATGATATTAGTGTAAATGAAATAAAGAAATTGAAATCTAATAAATTAATTGTCCTAAACAATGCGTCGAACGTCACTGCTACGAGAGTATACTGAAGGCATATTATAAGGAATATATTTCTTAGACATGGTCTTTTAAACACTTCTAGAATGCTCATGTCCTTGGCTTCTTCACAATTCAAAGCATTTACCTTAAATTTTTCAATGAGGTCCGGTGGTATCACTTTCTTGTTTACTTCAGCAACTCTTTCAGCTTTCTTGATAGCTTCGTCTACTCGTCCTTTAGAAATTAACCATTTTGGACTTTCTGGGAGATAAAGTGGAGCTAGTATTACAGTTAAAAGAGGAATTGACGTCACCAAAGCTGTTATTTTCCAATCTCCACAAGCTAAAGCTATCCACGGTAAAACGATGACTGCTAAACAATAAAATACGCCAAAGGTTACGTTTGACACAGAACTCCTGTGTTTAGGAACAATAAATTCTAAGCAAATAAGATATGCCATTATCCTACAAGAATCATACGCGGTCCCAGTAAGAAACCTATAGACTGAAAAATCATAAATATTTTTGGAGAAAATAGTAAGAATTCCAAAGATACCTCCCATAAGAGTACTGATGATGGCTGCACTTAATCTTCCATATCGGTCTGCTAGATAGCCAATTATCAAGCTTCCAATTATAGAACCAACAAAATAGATAGCCTGTGCTGTAGCAGGGTAACTGTCTTTCTCACAAACCCATCCCATTTCACTGGTGATTGTTGGATACGGTATTTCACTCTTATTGAATTCCCATCCATGTTGGCAAGGAATAGTTGGCGTATTGCTGTCAGGTTTCTTTCCTGTTAAAACTACGTCCGCCCACTTCACATCATAAGTTGAACATCTTGAATATCCAAAGCGAGAGTTGTCTGGGGGCGCTGCATAATCACGTCTTTCGATTTCAGTCAAGTTTTCCAACTCGGGGATCCTGCACCAATGGTTTGGAGATACTTCCGTCAAGAATATTTGCGTGAAGTATACAAATACAACAAATGTGTAGAAGGGAAACATCGCGAAGGACATGTAAAGTTGGTAGGGACCAAGCTCGCCCGCGGCGGACAGCAAAGAATCAAAATCGACATCTTGACCTGCCATATTTGTTGAGTTAATTTGACTTCTTTCACTAAACTTTTATTTGAGTTTATTGACACGATATCTGATTTCACTTTCACTTTTTTCCACAGATACATTTTTGATTTTGATCCATCTTTATTGCAATTCTTAATTACAAAGAAAAACTAAACCGGTCTCATCTGGGTGAATATTCCAACAGCGAACAAACTGAGAATGTATTTCAATAAATACCAGTTTACGTCGTGAGAGATATACAGGCAGTTGCAAAATAAGCTATATTTTAACCGACTTCAATAGGATTCAATTAGATTTTTTTTAAATTTTAATTTCATATAGGATAGAATTTAATGATTACATTATCCTTAATATATAAGAAAATATTATTATTTAAAAGCATTATTTTTCTTTTTTAATGATTATTATTTGCAGTATTTTATAACTGAGTTGGTATTGTTTGTTTAAAGTTATATTATTAATCATGTATTTAAATCCCACAGAGACTTACTAGGAAATATATAACAAAAATTAAGAAGCTCGAGTGATTAGACACAATTTAATAATTTAAATCATATAGTTGGCTGACACACTGTATAAAATTCATGAATTAGTGAGTGTGCGTCCAATCGTTCGATCCATATGTCTCAATTAATTCAATCTATATGAAACGTGATTGACAAAACATTGATGGTAACCTTTTCATATAAATTGAATTTCGACCCTGAATCGTTTGTCAAAATATTAAATTTAGTGCTAATTATTATAAAACGTTCTATATATGGCGTGTGGGCCTCGTGATTCAGCGATATCGTAAAGGGGCCTGGACGCCTGAGATATTAGGTTCGATTTCGGTCGAAGTCGGAAGCGTTTCCGGTGAAACTTCACCATAGTATTGCTTCATTGTGTTGTCGGAGACCAAAGTTGGAGCCCATTAGAGAAGCATGAGCGGTGTAAAATATATTAACAATTTAAATAAATAACATTTTCGGTTTCTAGGATGTATCGGACTAATTTTGAAGACACAAATTTTCCACAAAGGAAATATTTCTTCGTTTATTTATTCTTAGCTTAGCGTAAGAGCTATCTACCATTCATAAACGTAAAAATAATTTTCTAGCAATTGTTGATATGATTGCGTATTGAAACAAGCAAGTTTTTGTCGATCTTACATACATTAGGTTTCTATTTCTGATTCTATGGAGACGTTTCTCAAGTACCTACAAATTTACTTACGATAATTATGAATTATGCAATCTGCTTCAATATTATTATCCCATTTTCCTTATAGCAAATTATAAGTTGATGACTAGGTTTATTCATCATAATATTTATGTTTTTCCCTGCTTGTTCATTTGCATTAATGAAATATGTATGCAATGAAAAATCAAGTAGGTACATAATTTAGTTTAATGTCCTGTAAAAAAGTTGACCAGTGTCATGTTTTTAGTTTTTTATCTACTATAAAAGCCTGTGCAAACTATCGTGTATGCAAATGGGCAACATACGTGCGGAGACTAATAAAGATTTATTAAAAAAGTACAATTTAGGCTGTTAGGCGTACTGTGTGATTAAAAAATCATACTTTATAGATGTGTATTTTATGGTTACCAAAGCGGCGATATTCAGTACAAAATTAACAAAAGGCTCTTTGAACGTGATCTATCTATTCCGTTCCGTGGCTATTCATACTTTGCATACTCTTTTCATGGATTTTTATCATTAAATAACCATACGTTTCCGCAATCCTTTATGAAATCCGATAATTTATACAACGAAAAATAAAACTATATTTTCGTTTATAAATACAGAAACTATTTTATTGCTTACGATATGGGTTTAAAAGTAAGTGTGTGGAGTCGGTCGCAGCACACATGTCGATAACAATTAGATAAGTACCTTGTTCTTTTTTTATATTTATCTTCTCATCCCTGGCGAGTGGTCACTTGTCTCACATGGCAGGTGCTGCGAAATTGTATGACAATTATAGTTCCGCAAAGAACAGTTGTTATATTATGCGTTTTGCTAGAGTTTAGTTTAGCGCTGTTCATTTTCCTCTTTACTAGCATTTCCTATATAACCATGCTATGAAACTTAATGGTATAATAATAACTTATTCAAGGTCAACAGATCTCTTTTCAGTGTCACATTAACTGAAGTGTTACATGGTCATTAGTATGATGTGTTTTCTAAGAATTGTTCATGTAGAATAATTTGCTTCGTGTTAACATATATACGGTATAAAACTTTTTAATTCGAAGCTAATTAAAAAGATATTTAAACTTAAAAATTGAAAGTGATTCCTGTTTGAGACACTATTTAGCGTCCAAATTAAAACAACCTCTACGGTTCTTGGTGTCTTTCCGTCACCACCACAGTGGTTTACTTAAACACAGAATTTTGATACCAAGTTTACATTCCTGGGAAATAAATGTGTTGAGTAGAAACTCAAGCTACCAAGCTAAGAAGGGTATGAATAATAAATAAAACAAATATCTATTCCATTATTCTTCAAGGGATTACACAAATAGGCTTTTGCTATTAAAAAAAATCTGTTTGCAAATGGTATAGAACATAAAGCATTTTTATATATGTATATATAAAGTATAGAACACAGGTTTTATTGTTTTAGGCAGTCGACTTTGAAGGTCGTTCCCAATTAATTGCTATAATTATGTCTGGGTTGACATTCTCCAATCAAAGACAATTTTCGCCAACATATATTTACTATGAACAATTTAGTTTACAACGCAATTGGTCGAGTTATCAATAGCCATGACTAAACTTTTGAGCGCTGTGCAGGACAGTTAATAAATAAACACTAAGTCTAAATTAAGTTAATTGAGTTCGAGTTCGTTAAGAGAAAAGCGATAGTATTTGCTCATGACCCACTTTGCCGCGTGCTTTACACTGTAAACAAGAGTGTTAATGAAACCAAATGTAACTAAAGATCGTAACTACTGAACAAATACACCAATTGTTAAAAGAACAAAGAGTAGAACAGAAAATTGAACTACGTAAAACGTGTTCTAAGTTTGTTGTGCTCGGTAACAAACTCATTAATTATTCAATAACCTTGAAGTTTAGTCAATTTGGATATTTAATTTTGTTTGAAGGATATCGAAGAATGATATTCGTATCCATTACATGTTTTATGTTATAGTATACGTATAATGCTGGTGACCGCGACTTCGTCTGCGCAGGATTAAAATAACATTTGTCCAAATGATTTAGTGTGAAAGACTATTTTATCTTCTTTAAATACCAGAAGCGATAAAAGTAGGTAGCTAATTTCATTTAGGTATCAATTTATTACTAAAAAATGGAATTATAATTTTTTATTGTAGTTATGAGTCACTATTTTTGCTATAATGGCTTACACATAAGACATAGATGTTATATAATGTGGCGGAACTTTTTGTAGGAATAATTAAGATAACCATTTCCATCGTACATTACATATGTGTAACTAGCGGTTTTGGCAGCCAGAATAGCTCGCAGATGGTAAATTTTTTACTTACTTACTTGATATTATGGACAATTCACACAATATCTTTATAAATTGTAGCCTATGTGTTATTCTGATGTATAAGCTATATTATTGCAAAGTTTTATTAAAATCCATTTAGTAGTTTTTATGTGAAAGAGTAACAAACATCCATCCCTTCTTTCAAACTTTCGCGTTTATAATATATGTAGGATATGTTGATTTAAAATTTGTATACGAAACTTCTTAATTGCGACTCCAATTTTTTATTCAGACTTTCTTGACCGATCACGTGCTAGGTATCAGGTTATTTATGTCTAGTAAAGCAGCCCTGCGATTCTGTAACTCACTTTTCGAACTCACACAGCGGTTTTCGCATCGGCGGTCGCTCTCAAATCAGTCGTGAAGCAGTCATTTTATGATTTGGCATTCTGATTAACAATAAACTACAATTTCCCACCTTTTCAGAATGCCAAATCATAAAATGACTGCTTCACGACTGATCCCCCCCCTGAAAACCGCCCACGGGCGTGGAAACCCGCTGGTTTGAGTTCGAGAAGTGAGTTACAGAATCGCAGGGCAGTTCTTTTAACAGCATAATAATCGTGTAAGTATAATATTTTTTTTACCTACCTTACTACTACTACCCTAAGTAAATTAACTTTATAATGTGGTCTAATGACAGTGAGACAAGTGGGCTCTCGCTAACCATGACTGTTTATTCATTTTAGGAAAACGTTTAATCAAAACTACTATTAGTTAAAATCTAATTTGGGCCTTTAAACTAAAGATTAATGAAAAACTTCTTCGATTTAAATCAAAATAAGGAAATAAATTATTAATAATATTGTATTTCACTTCCATAAAAACGTAAACGAAAATTTCTAGCATAAATAGAGAAGCAAGCAAATTTAATTTTGATATTTTTAATTGTATATCTACCGTTATTTTTTTACTTACTGATTCGGAGGTTGGTTCTACTGATAAGTATTGGCAAATTTTTAAAGGCAAATATTACATAGTTTAAACTTTAAACAATACATTTATTTAGTTCGTTTCGTCTTGGATTAGTCAATGCTATACCTGAACGCATGTTGCGCACAGATTAAAATAATTTCTACTGTTAAATAGTGATATATTTTAATAACTAAAAAAATATGATTTTTTTGTATTTTTCTAAATAAAATCACAAATAATTCGTTTTTAATATGCACCACAAAATTGAAAAGTAAAAAAGTTTTTCCATTTGGACATGTAAATGAATCCTCTGATCGTCAGAGTATTTAATAAAAGGCCTCGATAAGCCCTTTAAAGCTCCAAGCGTAAAATTTCCCATTCGAAATCCATTTAGGTAGGTACTTATTTATAATAGCTGCTCTAAATTTATAAAATTGAATTGTTGGCTAAAGAGGAATCTATAGATCGATATTGTTATCAAAGTGACAAATTCAAACAGCAAAACACAGTATAAATATTTAATTTAAATATATATACATATAATTATGTAATTATTACAAGGGTATTAGATTATTGAAGTGAAACTTCTTTATCGAGGTTGGAAAAAAATTTAGTGTAACATTTTTTCGTTAGGTTTTCGGTTCGGCGATTATGAAGTCAAACTTCTTTATCGGCGTTGGAATGAAACTTCTTTATCGACGTATGGGAGAAATTTTGTAGCAAATCGTCACGTTTTTCAATGATAGTAATAATTACAATTAATGAAATTCTATAATAATCTTCGTAGTAATAAGGTAAAATGAAATATTTGTATTCATGTCTATGATAATAAAAGCCTTTTGTTAAACTTTATCTAATTTAGCGAATTTCTGTAAAGTTGCATATAGTAGATAATTTTTCGAAAAATAAGATCATAAAGAAGTTTCACTTTTTACGTGTGTACACCTAGTACACGCATAATTTTTTTTTTTTATAATTTTGTTTTTGTATCAGTCATTTGACAGCTCAATACCGATCGCTCCTTTGTACGGTGGAGTTATGCTTGAACATCCAAAAATACGCCACGAACATGATGACGTTCGAACACTTCACCCGTTTATTTTTAAGTTTTCGAAGACTTATAAACTCTTTTAAAAAGAATATTGATTATAGAATTTGGATGTTTTAAAAACAATGAAAACTTATTAAACGATTTACAGAAAACGATATTTAAACAATCTTAGCTAAGATGTACCTACAACTGTCAAAACTAGACTAACAGCCGTACTTAGCTGTTCATTAAATTATCGCTAATAGTAGAATAAATAAAGACCCAAATTTAACTCGGATAAGAAAACGAAATGTAACGCCTTAACTCTTAAGGATAGCGACAGTTTTTGTTTTTTTTTAATTCAAAAGAAGGTGCTAGTTGGAGCAGTAGTTAAGCATTTGATTCTCAATGGTTGTAATCGAAGTCACTTTGGCTGTGGACCAATGCATTTTTCTTCCTATGTGCTAATATTGAATACTAGGTACAGAATTCTGATTAACATACACAAATAATAGTGAAATTATCAGCGCAACAGGTGAAGAAGTGTGCCGTGTTAGGCCTTCGGGACATACAATCCATAAAGTACAAGATCACATCAAGCTACGCTTAGGCCTTTTAAAAAAAATATTATATAAAAATATTGTTAAGTCGTAAATCGTCCTTCTATCGTAAGTGATCAATTGAGAAAATGACACCGAAATTCGATAACGTCGGCCTAAGATCAAAGATCGACTTGATTGACTTTGATAGATCACAAAATCCCGGAACATAATTATTTTATGATCGAAGTATTCTTTTAATCTTATATATTATATTTAAAACCGCTGTTTATATTTCAAATTGATGTAAATAAATCGATCACTAATATAAATGATTATTTTTATAAATATAATTAAAAGATCTAAAAACTTTGTCCATTTTATAGGGAAATTTGTTATAATAAATAAATATAATGGCATATCAAAGCCTTCAATATATAGACTCTTTAACAACAACTTGAATTTGTATTTAAAGTTGCAATTGAATTCAACAACCGAATAATTGTTTGCTTTACTTTGAGCTGCGTCAGGTAATTGGGAAATTTACCCCTTGGCTAGCTGAAGGCAACTTTGATTTTAATTGACACAAGCTATGTACTTTGTTTGGTACGGAAATGTACGGGGCATGTAAACATTTCCCTACTTCAAAAAAATGTTTATACATATAACGATCACTAGGGTTCAGAATTGTAGGCCGTGTAAAAAAATCTACATTACTTTATTATAAATAAATATATAAATTTGTGTTGTCTATATTCTTACGCTATACAAAGTTCTATACAACATTACATCAAGATACATTATATCGTAACAGTTACTAATATCTAGTATAAAAGTAGCGTATACAATGCAAGAAAATTTATTTTATATTCATACGTTTAAAACTTATGTTATCTTATCTATTGTAGGAGAAAAGAATCAAAAAAGAAGTTGTAATTATTTATAAACATCACCATATTTTACCTTATCTTATCTTTATTTATAAAAATAAACATAAAATCAGTTAAGGTAATAAGTACCAAATACCTTATTACAAAGAGTAATCTACAAAGGCGGAATATTTTAGCCCTACTCTCGAAAAATTTCCACATTTACCGTATACAAATAACGAAAATTAAAGTTAGGGGCTTAGCGTTTATTTAATTATAACAGTCTCTGTCACCGCGATATGAATTATGAACTTGTTAGCGTCATGCCTACTCAAAGGCTCATCTCGTGCCAAGTATGTAGAGTATTAAGTTTCATGAAACACGTCTTTTCTCACATCACTTTAATTGGTTTTATATTGGGTCCTTACATATGAAATTCGCGCTTTGTATGTGAGTAACAAAAAGTAGATTTTTTTAAAATAGAATATTTAATCAAAGTATTCACCATTGCTATCTATGCCGTTTTGCCATGTTATAGGTAGTTCATTGATCCCTTTACTAAAAAAAACATTTGGGCATCAATAAAAGTTGAAGGCGGTTTCGACTACCCCAAAAGAGTTGAATTTTTTACAAATTGCTTTAACACCGCAGGCTGCAGCTAACTCATACATAGTTTGCGATGGATTCGCTCCAATAATAGCCTTCAATTCTTCGTTATAAACTTTGATCTCCGGCCGTCCACGGGGCTTGTTCTGCTCGAAATTTCCAGAACGAAACGTTGGAGAGAAAAACGCACTGTTTTTTTCTTTTTCGACACCGCCGGCATACACATAATTAATCCTTTGAGCCGTTTCTGCAGCACTGGTGCCACGGTGGAACTTGTGCTCGTAAATAACGCGATATTTCATGTTTTCCATTTCATAAATAGATTTTATGAATTAGAAACTCCTAACAAAAGAGGAGATATTTGAGGTCAAAGTGGCCAGTAGGCAAAACGTCAATTACATAATATTTACTCATTTAATGAAATTTGAATAAAAATCTTTTCACCACTGATGATGAATGAACAATATATAATAACTACCATCAGTAATATTAACAATGTTAAAATCATGTACTAAAACCAAAGTATACTTACATTTTTTATTATTTAATCTAAAATGGTTTTCAGAGTTTTGTAAAGAAATCAGACGCTTGTTACATAACAATATGTTTACGTAAGCCAGGCAACTCGTTTTTCGCGATCTAAAGCAGTTGGCACACTGGGTGCGGACGTTGTAGCAGTCGCGGCCGCTTCGCTGATGCGACGACGAATAAGCTGCCTTGAGGGCTCGCGTCAGGTACTGAAGTCGATTCGCGCGCAAACAAGGGCACTCAAGAGTGTGATGAACGCCAGGGCGATTTGTATGCACGCGATTATGGTCAAATCACGTGATGAGGTCAGGAATTCATCTTGTGCATAGACACTGTAAATAAAAGTTCTATGAATAATTGATATATCAAAATTCAAAAATCAAAAATCATTTAATCATATAGGTACAATGTACACTTATGATAGTCAAAAAAAAGAAATGTATATGAAATGCTTCTAACTTTACATTTAGTGCCAGTTCTCAAATCAAGGGCGTAGAACGGAAGAGAAGAACTGGCAATAAACTCTCCATTACTCTTTTTAATCGCCATGTTTTTTTTACACAACGTTTGTAAGGAGCTGCAACCATTACACCATGTTCCAAATGACATCTTAAGTAATTAATAGTAATAACATAAATTAAAAACAAAGACTTGTCTAGAGAGACAACCCGACGTATGGACGCCGCCACAAGCAATGACATTTAAGCGAGCATGACGATCCTTGAAATGTGGACTTAGAGCTACATAAGAAAATAATAATAATACTAATTATACTGAAATAATTTGATACCACATCGTATCATCGTATCGTTTGATCTAAATTTTAAATTCTTTTCTAGCTGTAACTGTATGTAAAATAAATAGTTTAGGTGTTGTAGGTTCAAAAGTAAAGTTCAAAAAAAGCTCGAAACGATTTATGTAATTATATACAGGGCATATTGCCAATTTTGTCCTTTTTTCCTTAGCTGGACACGCTGTGACGTGAAAAGCATATAAAGAATATCTTAAAAAGTAATATATTTAATGTTTGATAGATATGTGATACTTCTTAAACCAAATAGAGCTTTTGAGAATCAGACATAAAAACTTCAAATATATTGCGCTTATTCTTTGACATGTCTTGATAAGTTTACTTACCTGTCGCTCTCATCGGGTATAACTAATAAAGTCCGAACACACTGTACAATTAACGCCAGCAGCATGACTATTGACATTGTCCATAAAACTGCTGCCGCTGAAATGCTAATCGCTCCGCTTGTGACAGCACCCCAGCCGCGGGTCGTGTGTATTGACATAGCTTCATCGGAAAACAGAATTAAGTTAGTTGCAACATTGTTATCTCAGGTTTCGTTATTTTTAACTCAATGCACCGTTCAATTCAATTTCGCTGAAATAGTAGTAAGCGAGTTCCTGTTCACCCAATTATGTAATAATGGTCAAGAGATAGCTTGTGAATGTTAATAAAATATTATTCTAATTCACATTGGATGTTCCTTAATAAGTTTATATTGCGTAACGGTAAACAGTATTTTTGAGGTCTAGCTCCAACCAAATGATGATATAAGTGATGCAGCAAGGGATGTGCTTATTGGAGTTACAGGAAATTTTTAAGAGACCAGGCAAAATACTTACATATCTAAAATACATAGCATTTTTTCTTTTAAGTATTCACAACAAGCAACAAGAACAATCCATGAATTTATTTATTATTAACAATCATAATATTTAATTTTAAAAACATAATAGTACATAATATATTTATTTGTTACAAATTTTCAAGACCCTAGACCTCTTTCTGGGGAGACCCTGTGAAGTGATTTCTATTTTATTATATATTATTATGTGTGACTTGTATCTTTCTTCTTTATTATAGCGACTATGTCGTTCTTCTGATTTAAAAATTTTGTGCTGTCATGTTTTGTTTTGCTTTGCTATGTATCTTATTTTTTATCACTGAAACTTTTTGTGGATAAATCCAATGTGTTTATTTTTTTTATGGTATAGAGATGTTTGATCTGTTTTGTTTCCTAAATAAATACATAAATTACTACATATCTTCCAATTATTAAAGAAATATTTTATGTTTTTTCCGCTTAATAATCCTTTATTTAGTTAATTGCGTGTAGAACACTTAGTTAACTTACCAGCTGCCAAAACACTCAAGGTGCCAGCGGGGATACCCAGCCCCATATTTAATTTCTGACGCTCTTCAATGAATGCTACACTCCCCATCACTATTTTTGAAATACCACATACAATCTGGAAGTGAAAAAACATGTAAATAATATAAAACGAGAAAATTAAACTTGAATTCTAAAACATAACTACAAGTATTACTTATAACTAAATAACTGTTATTTTTGCGCCGTTATTAAAAAGTAGGTTTAAATTTCAATAATTAATTATTTTGATAAATGAGGATATAAGTAATTTACAGAAATTGCCTCATTAACTAAAATCTTTAAATTTCTATATCTTGCTGTGTCAAACTCATCAACACGTCTTTTAGAAAAAAATCTTTACGGCGTTTAGTCCTGTCCAATTTGTAATTCAGTGACTTTTAGCTCTTAAATGTTGCTGTATAGTTTTCATTGATCATGTTTATTTACGAGTATTGGCAAGTGAGCCTGCTATTTAAATTGTTAATATTATTAATTAGACTTTTTTTCCCACAGGGGGCAAACGGACAGGAGTCTCACTTGATGTTAAGTGATACTGCCGCCCATGGACACTCTCAATGCCAAATGCCAAACTTAAATGCAATTTATTCAAAAATTCATTGCAGATGCATAGGGAACTTTATCTTTAATGCAATAGAATTATTAGTAGTAAGTAATAAGTATGTATTATTAAACACTTTTATGTCACAAGAACAACATATTCCTAACGTAAAAACCATTCTACTACAAATTTCAATTTATTCGCAATCTTAGAAATATCCCCTACCACACATGATCCCTTGCTTTTGTGTCAGAAATCTTTTCTCATAAATCACAAAACGTATTTCCTTCGCATTCTCAAACCTTTCTTTCATGCCCCGTCAATCTATCAACATACACTGAACTCCGATTCGTATGAAAATCATTTATTATATATTTAGAGCTGAATTATCATCACCATTTTGAATATTTGTGCATCCGTGAGCAAAATATTGTTAATAATTACGTCGTTATTTAAGGAAATAATCTTGATTTTGAAGAAATAAATGACAGCTTTGATATTCATTTAAATTTTCTTGTTTATTTATTTTAGTTAAAATTTTAGAAGCTTTGGTATTAACAAAATTTATTTGTTATGTATCTTAGGAACATTGTCGTAAGATGTATCACTTTCCATGATTAACGCGACACGACATAGCAGCTTATTTTTTCAAGATGGCGTACAAGTCAGACAATAACGCTAATAAGAATTTAATTTTTTATGTAATTTGAAAAGATATTGTAGTTAAAATAGCATAGAGACTTTATAAATAATTAATTTGATTTTATAATGTTCATCTGGTAAAATATATTTAAATTAATATTCTCACAGAGCACATTCATTATTCTAGAATGTTTAATGCAAATTGTTCGATCCGAATTCCAATAGACGACGGCGTATTTTTGAATACAGCTGAATAATTTAATAAACCGGCATGTTAAGAACAAGACATTTATACATTTGAGAGAAGAAACCCACGCAAAATATTTTATTATAAGACACGCTAGCGCTAAAATTATTTGAAAAAAGTATAAAAGTAAAAATATAACATCTATTAGAAGATCACTTTGTAAAGATTCATTCATAAATATTATATTTTTTCATTCCTTAATGCATGCAGTGGTAGAGTGTGCAATAATATAAAGTAGTGGAGTGAGACATACACTTTTATACTTTCCGCCATTATTATGGAGAACCATCTTAAAAGCTTGGCAATATATTTTGTGAAGGTTTGCCTAATTAAATCCCTTCTCGGAATATTACATTGTTAGCGGCGACTTTAGTGTTTAGAATTAGTCCTGAAATACTATCAGTAAGTCATGTTAATTTCCAGTCGATAATTGATTCAACAGCTACCGATGTCTTTATATTAAAAATTATAACGGAAGATAAGTGTTACCATGCTCAATCGGGACCTACTAATGTGCCATCACATACGGCCTGAGGTGGAGAACAAATGACTCAAATATACGATTTGTGCTCTGATCGGGAATCGAAGCCCAAGGTCCTCTGTTGTATGTAATGAGAAATGCAATAAATTTAAATAAATATATATTTGATGATTTACATTTAAAAAGATTGTAAATAAATGGTATGAAACGTGTTAGCCATTAGAATAATTGTAAAATAGTAGAAGAAAGAGCAAAAAAACAAGGACAAAGACGCAAGAGCCATAAATTATACAAATTCAAAGACATCGTATTTAAAGCATTCATTTAAAAAAAAAATTTCTTTGATGTAATTTACAGTAGACGAAATACGACTCAGAAATTATTTTGCTGAATTTTATACGAAAATGTTACCCCATTAACTATTCAAATATAAAGATATCTATGTAACTCTTACCGCCGTACCTAACTAATAATGAACCACACGGAGTTCATTACAGTTTACTTTGTGGCTGTGTTAAAAAATACCTTTTTAATTCAGCCGTTAATTGAGCGGCTAAACAAGCTTATACGTCGATTTGTCGCTTTGTTACTTCCGCGAGAGGTACTTCGAAATTTTATACAAAAACGGCGGGATCTGTATCGCTATTAGAAGTAACAAAGTAACGGGGCTTGTATTAATGGAATCCCTAATAATTTGCACAAACGAATTACGGCGGTTAACTTATAACGTTAGACAGCTACTATAGATACAACAGTAGATTTAAGTAGACTGTTAAAAAATAGTACCTAAGTATTTAATTTAATGATACTTTCCTTAGTGTAATAATCTCGACTAGATTTTTATTGTATATTTACCTGTAAAACTCGTAATCTGAGGACGAGAGCTAAGGGGTAGCCGAATGGGTAATTTAAAGTTGGACCATCACTTCCTGCTCTTAATAAAGCAGCTGATTCTTTTCGCTGAGACAACGATGCCTGCAAAACAAAGATATACATTTATTATATGTATTATATGTTTAATGGTAAGTATTTGACTGCACCTAAAAACAAAAGAACTTAAATGTCACGGATTTTTTATTTTGTAAGTTTGAACAAAAACAAAACACTCCCGTGATGCGAATGAGCTCCTGCTCCTAACCCGGCCTTTTACCCGGACATCCGGTCTATCTATAAGAACAGTATGTGTACTATAATTTTTTTTGCATACATAGCGATTCGCCGCCGTAAAATCAGTCTGGAGAGGATAAATTCATGTATAATGTATACATGAAATGTTTACTAGCTGGAAATTTTAAGGAAATATAATGAGTACGACCTCCAAATGTTCACCTACACTGATGGCTCTTTCGGCCCGCCCCCCGCGCTCTCCCCCCCTAAAAAAAAAAAAAAAAAAGGTTTACTGTGACCAAAAAATCTATTATATATATAATAAATAAATAATTAAACAATATAATATAATGTGATAAATAAATAAACCGTGATGACGTATTATTTCAACATGTAAAATAATTAAAACTTTCTCGTTCTTTCCATTACATACGAGTATATTATGAGTATAGAAATCTTAGTAAAAACATTCCTTACATTTTCGTACCCTAGCTACGATAAAGCAAACTTTGCTACCAGTTCCCGTTTTTGTTCGTGGACTGACAACGCATGCGTAAAGAGTACGCGTCTACTGGTTACTAAGAAAAATAAACAGTGTTTGTATATTCTAAATTTAGTTTTAATGAACATTTTGTAAAATGAGCGATTCAAGTAGCGAAGATGAAGCTAAAAAGAAAATTGTGGAGATGCCAGTCTCTTCAGATTCTAGCGAAGAGGATGTTCTTGAGGGTATGATTTTATTTTAAGTACTATGAACGTATAATATGTCTATCTAATATTAGTTAATATGTACGTAAATATTATACTTTTATGCTATGGTGTTTTTATTTGAAGTAAGGCAATGGAGCTGATGTCTTTATGGCTAACACATTATTAAGTGTTTAATTATTTTTTTAAATGCCAGTAGGTGATTAGACTTCAATGCCTACTAACATAAAGATATTTTCATCGGGCTTCCGGCTTTTTCGTCATGTTATAAGTCTGATATAATATGTTTAATTGTCTATAAATAATAATAGTACATAGCAGTACATTAACATCAAATTATTTTCCAAAAATAGGCATGTATGTTTAATGAAAAAAAGTCATGAAATATGTACAGTAATTCAAAAAGTATTATTGTAAACATAATTAACCTGTTTAAATATTTTGAAGTCAAGTGAAAGGTATGCCAATTACTGAATGTCAAATTTGTTAAAAATAAATACTATAATTTAAGCCGTAAAAGCCATATATATTATCATTAAATTAAGTATTACAGTACAGTACATTTTACTTGGATAGGGCGAGAACTTGTGGACAACAACATGACGCAACAACCTATGCCAAGAAGGAAAAGGTTTATACCCAAATATGATGTTGAAGGTGTATACAAAATTGCTTTGGGCGAAGACACCCAAATTCAAATTGAAATGGTTATTGGAACGCATGTTAATGCTCAATATCCCTGGAAATCAATAAGCAAATCAAAGCTAATGGAAACTATTGATCTGGGAGGGGAATTGTCCGAACTTTTCCCACTAAAAGCGCAACTCGAAGCCTATCCTGGTGAGGAAGTGTTGATGGGCTATATATCTGATGAATCAAAAGACGTTGATGAATTTTATGTTTGCTGTACCATTGAGGCTAAGGATCATTGCAAACAACAGTCCGATAGATTTATTAAACGCCAGGAGAAAAAATTAGAGAAAGCTGTTCAAAAAAAGCCCAGGCCATGGAAAAGCTTAGGCAGTGAAGTTGAAATTAAAGAATTGCTACCTATTAATGCCAGACCTCTCTTAGAAATGGAGATTCGCGTTAAATTTCCTAAGGGATATGCGCCTAAAAGTCTTAAGGTTAGAGATACCAATGCAAGTAGAGACGGTTATATAGAATTAACACCTTATAGACAAAAATTTAACAATATATTTAGACGGAGAGTAGATTGTGCATCACAAATAACACCTGCCCTTGTAAACGATTACGCACAAACTGTGTTAAAGTACCCACAAAATATGTGGACACAATCTATAGCAGATGCATTAGGAAAAGTTGATGATAAAAATGCTGGTGGAGATACTGGAAACGAAGGTGGTGGATTGCCTGCTGAAAAAGATGCCCAAAGTTCAGACGAAGGTGAAGAAGATGTCGCAGACACATCAGATGAGGTCGGCCTGATAGCTTATAAAAACGCCCTACAACGAATGAGAAGACCATCTTACATAAAGAAAATTAATAGTTTTATGAATACAATAAATTCTGAAATGAACTCTATAGTAGAACTTAATACAGTAATGGATATGTATTGCAATGATTATCCAAATTTAGTATCTGAACAAGCAGTAGACGTTTATGATACCATGACATTTGACGAATACGTATGTTTTACCGATGTGAGAGCAAAAGATAAGTATGTCTCATGTGCTGTGTTTCATCCAATGTGGTCTGGTATAGTAGCAATTTGCTATGCAGATGGATCTCCAACAGTAATTAAAACAGCAAGTTCGCGAGCAGATCCTATTCAAAGAGCTGTGTATGGTATAAATCCAGTTTTAATTTGGAGTCATATCGATAGCTTAATTCCAAAGCTCACTCTGGAATCTCCTCGAGAGGTTAAAATACTTTCATTTTGCCCATTCAATGAAAATATTTTAATTGGGGGCTGTATAAATGGACAAATAATTTTATGGGATTTATCCAATAAGTTAGAAAACGTTGAAAAAATGGAAGTATTAAGCGAAAAAAGAGAAAAGTACCGAATAGCTATGAATGCTCACATGGGTTGGATGAAAAATGTACAAGATAATGCTGTTGTTCAGCCTACCGCTTTAACAAATTTAGTGACGAGCCACTATGGTCCTATCACATCGATTAATTGGCTTTCACCTAACTTTACTATAACACCTACTGGAAAATCTATATTTAACAAGGATAATAAGAAATCACTAATGTTTTTCAGTGGTTCGGACGATGGTGTAATATTGATATGGAATCTTTCCGTAGAAAATGTAACTCAATTTGAAGGCAAAAAAGTGAAAAAATCGAAAAGAGTCCCTAAGAGACCTTCCGGGTTACTTGTTGATGTATCTGAATTTAAAGTTTTGGATCGAGTTTTACAACCGTGTTATAAAATAGTTCTTGGTGCGGCTGGACAACCACAAACATTGCCACTGCAAAGCTTTGGAATGGATGCACCAAATATTAAATACATTTATACCCCAAAAAACACAGGGTCTGGCCGTACATACTATACATTTGACATAGCACGACAATGTGAGGCTGATAATAATACAATATTGTACTGTGGATCTCAACATGGTGAGCTAATAAAAATAACATGGGAAGGACATGAATTTAATACTGGAGAAGTTGTGAATTCGGAATACGCTGATATCAGCTACAGCTGTTGTATACATGATGGAATCATAACTTCAACTGAAAAGAATCCTTTCATTAATCATGTAACACTCACAGTTGGAGGTAAAATATTAGCAATTTGGTCCGATAAACTATTAAACAAACCTTTGACGTGGAAAAAGCGGCCATATAGATTAACTGCGGGTATTTGGTCTTTATATAAGCCTAGTTTATTCTTTGTTACTACATCTGAAGGTGATTTAGAGACTTGGGACTTGTTGTTGAGAAGTGATCAGCCAATCGCCATACAAACATTATCTGGTAATATGCTCACAGGTATTAGCTTACATACACTTCCAGTAGCAAAAAATATGATTGGTGTAAGCGATGTCAATGGATCATTTAGATTATTTCTCGATCCACCCATATTTATGATTGAAAATCCTAACTATACAGGAAGAATGGAAGCAACAATAATACGTGAATTAAAAGTTATGCAATCGTTTATGGCTTGGCAAAGAGAGTGGATGTTGAACAATCCTCATATTTTACAAGAAATGAAAAGAAAGGAAGGAGCTCTATTAGCACTGAAAGAAGAAGAAAAACGAAAAGAAAGAGAGGAAGAAGAAAGGAGATTAGAAGAAGAAGCGGAAGCGCGAAGACAAGAAAAGTCCAAAGTAGTGGGCCCAGAGGAAAGATGGCAACAAATTATACAAAAACTAATCGAAAGAACCATTGCAGTTAAAAAAAGAATTAACAGAACTGAACTTATAGAACACGAAAAGCCCCTAAGAGAATTAGAAGCCCAGCGCTTAGAAAAAGAAAGGAGAATGTTAGAAATAATGAAAAACCAGAAGACTATTTTTAATGACACTGTTGCTATTCTATTTCCTGAAGCTATAAAAAAAGAAGAAAAGATTAAAAAGAGTTTGCTACTGGATACCAAAAGTAATCTAAAAAAATCGTATTTAGAAGAATATACGAATCTTAAAAATAATTCATTAGCTACCGTCCGTGACAACCCATTTACAACCGCATTTTCATGGGACTCAACTGTAGCAGAAGGAACAGAAAGAAGACAAGCACTCAATGCTCACGAAGATTTCATTAAACTTCACCAATTGAGGTTAAATGAAGAAGGGATAACCCCACCACCTCAACCTGTGACTGTAAAAGAAGTTGAAGAACTTTCAGAGGACCTAGGAGAAGAGAAAGAATAGATAAAATAACCATTACTTTTTTAATAAATAATATATTTTATTATATCGATCGAAAATAAATAATTTTTATACAATGTGTATTATTAATTTCACAACTTCTTACGTTGCCTGTTGAATTTGTAATAGTTCATAGTACGTACATTTGTTAATGCTTCAATTCGTAGTATACAAAAATATATTTGACTTCTACCAATATTAGAAAATTTATTGATATTTTTTTTTATAGAACAGGGGGCAAACGGGCAGGATGCCCACCTGACGGTAAGTGATACCGCTGCCCATGGACACTCAATGCCAGAGGGCTCGCAAGTGCGTTGCCGGCCTTTTAAGAATTGGTACGCTCTTTTCTTGAAGGACCCGAAGTTGAATTGGTTCGTAAATACTTCAGTGGGCAGCTGGTTCCACAAAGTGGTGGTGCGCGGCAAAAACTGCCTTGATATACGTTCAGTTGTGGAACGGCAAAATTTGAATATAAAAATAATATCGTTGCCATTTAAGATATTTAACAATCAGGGTTGATAGACCCAATCTTTACCTCTTATTTAAAATTCGTGTACCCTCTAGTCTAGATCACTTCCAGAAAGTGTACCAGATATCCACCCCATCATTTCATTAGTTCCATTCTTTTCGAAGAACTCGTTTTGGCCAAAGCTCACTGATGTCCAAATTAAATATTCTTATAAACTAGCTAGTTCTGGATTCCCGTAGGTGCTCTCCTCACACTTTAAAATCGATTTTGTAATTTTAATTGTTTTATTCAATATTTTTATTATCTCTTCGTGTGTGTCATGTTTCCCTTTCAGTGTTTGTTACATTAAAATTTGTATTTTGTGGTTCGGTTACCAATGTATCAGTGTGCCGAGCGTTGGCATGCTTTTGTCAATTAAAAACAAATTGTTAGATACTCACAGCATTAAGTTCTTCCATGTCGCCACAGTAGAACGACGCTGCACGTAGTTTTCGCTTCATAAAAATTGCGCCTTAGCACCGTTTCAAATAAATCTGTAACAATGATATGTAATACAAGTTATTACAAAGGAATCTTCAATATCTTTACCCAAAACATAAGAGAAATTCACGATTATTTTTAATTCAATATTTTACAGGCACTTAAAAGCTCTAGGTATGTTCATAAAATGTTCTCGGTAACAATAGCTTAATACTAAATAAGCAACTAGAGTAAACAAAATTTATTCCGAGCGAGCCGAGCGAGAGGTCAAAAATCCTTAAATTATGAACAAACTACATAATAATGTTGGTTTAAGAAACGATATTCAGTATTTTTGTCTCTTTAGCTTAACTAATTTACATACATAATACATCAGTTAAATACACCTCTTTGGTCTAATCGAATACTATTTAAATAACACTTCTTTAATCGACGTCAATGCAAAATAATTACATTATTACATAACTCAATGTTTCGAATGACTCACATTTTCATATCATTTGTGGTCAGTGGGGCGTGTTGCGCGATTCGATTCGCTAAAGATATTTCAAAACCAAATAAGTAAAAATCAATTTGCATAGCATGGTAGTGATTTTGATAAAATTTTAAATGGCTATTTAAGGCACCTTCATAATGTACGATATTAGTATTAATGTTAGAATTAATGTACAGAATTAACATAAATTGAGTTATGAAAATTATTAATATAAAAACAAAGACAATAAAATTTATGATTGTACTTCCGTCCCAGAGTGCTTTACCTTATTACATAGTTCGATGGGAGTTGCAAGCAAGCCACAGCACATCTAATTTGCTAATGGACTGGGTATATGGGGCTTTAATGAGAATAAACGATCCTTGTGAATAGCGCTTTTGCGTGAAAAGGTAACATGATATACCTAGCCATCGATCGAACTATCTAGGCCGCTATGATTACATCATTAATATGTCTACTGGACTTTTAATGTTTATATTATCTACTTTAACAATACGCGACTCCCTAAAATATAATTATGTAGTTTAGTTGTCACTTTAATTTCAGAGAGACAGAAGTATCTTGTAAAAGAATAACTCTAAATCATCAAGTAAGATTGTGTTTCTAACGACCGTTCCGTTCAAAAGCAAGCGACATTTGCTTTTTAAAAATGTAACCAAAATGGATCAGGGCTTTCAGGAAAGTTTAATTTATATGGAGATTTTTTTTTTGGACAAACGACGTTTACTTATGACGTACTACACCTAAAATTGTATTCAAAGACAATGTATATTCAGTCCAAAAAAAAATTCACTTAATTTAATTGCTTCGCAAGCCGCTATCGCTTTCGTCGCGTAGCATTTTCGCCAAATTCGCAACTTTTCTATAAAATTTCTCGTAAACATTTTAAGTATTTTCAAGGTGAACAGCAAACAATGTTAAATCTTTAACATGATTTTGGGAACTTTTATAACTTTGCTATTGTAGGTAACAAAAGTTTCTTTCCATTGAATTTTTGAATTTCAATTTGGGTTTAAAATACTAACGACTATACGGCGACTTTGAGGTAATAAATGTTGTATTCAATATATATATGGGTATATGATTAAAAGCAATCCTAAACAATAATCTTTAATAGGTTCAATTCGTATGAAAACTATAAAATATGTAACGCCATCTATTGCCTTATAATTGTACTAAGCGCAATTTATACTCTGTATTATGTTAGATTTTTTTTTAAATTGGAACTTACTTATTACGTACTTATTAGAAGCATTATTTGCTTTTTTCAACCACTAATTACTTACTTTATTTATTTACTTTATTTACAGCCTTATATCAGAAATACAAAATATATACTGATTCTGTGTGCCTACGGGCAAAGGCCTCCCCCATTGTCCTCCATTTTTCCTTATTGTATACCAATCTCGTCCAGGTTTTAGTCTTTCCAGCCATTTTCATGATTTCATCGGCCCACCTTTTAAATTGCCTACCTCTGTTTCTTTTATGGCCTCTTGGTTGCCATAGTGTTATAATTTTGCTCCATTGACAACCACTAATTAAAGGACTTTAATTAAATACGATGAATAAAATATAATACACAGTACACAGTAGTTACTATTTTAGATTTCCGTAAGAAACCTATTATTCAAACGTATACGAAATCTGTTTTATGTAACTAACTTGTAAGTTCTATTTTCTCAATGGCTTTGAACTTCACTCGAGCATTATATTTTTGGCAAGGAACGAGAAATTTTCATCCAAATAGGTCATTTATGAGAAAATATTGTGTGAGTATTATAGCTATTAAATAAATTATGGGTTCCTTTAAGCACAAAAAATAATTGTTATCGAAATTATTGTGGAAAGGTCCAAAAACTAATTGCTGCTTAGTGGTTAACGCAGAACGTTAACTTGGCCCTGGAATTGATTCCACATGGCTTAAAAAAGATTGAATGAATAAGATGCAGTAGAGAGGTGTATTACCTATTCTTTAACACCATTGTGAGCATACGAGACTTCAAGCAATATAAACCAATCACTTCACTGGAGTTATGTATCTTAGAAGAGTGTCGCAGTGTTGAATTTAAAAATCAATTAAATACGTTTAATAAAAATGAATTTTCTGTTTCGCAAATAATTACAGAGAAGATCTAAACACAAAGACCTTTAAAAAGTTAAAACGAGTGTCCGTATTTTCGTAGCTCTTATCCAAACAACGTATCTTAATGATGCTTTCTAAGGAGATAATTTAAAGATAAAGGAAAATTTCAGCAATTTAATTTGAATTTACGAAAGATAATTTAGTGTTAAGATCCTATTATTTCTTATTAAAATTTGGAGTATTATAAATATTCCTATAATTTCCAACAATATCCTTATGCAGCATAGGTAGGTGCCCTAAATTTAATCTAAGAAAACAATATTTTTTAAACTAAGAAAATGTATATTTGAGAAATTCTAAACTTTTAATTGTAATCAATGAAAAAAAAATGTTTAGTAATCACAAATGGAATATTGTTACCAAAAACTTTTAATACAAGCGGATAAAATTTGGACATATCTATGTATAAACATACATTCATAATGTATTTAACTCGATTAAATAATTGGTAATACAATACTAAATTTAAAGACAAATACAAGAACTTATTATGATTATGATTGAACGAACGAACGATGTTGAAAGGAAGTTTTTAATTTAATACTAAAATATCGATGAAAATATATCTGAATTCAATTTTTCATTTTTATTTATTATTCATGAAGGCTGCTTTTATTTGAAAAGTTTTTAATCTAATCATTATCTTGAACATTGATTATATATATTATTACATATGATTCCCATAAATGCTAATTGCTTGTATTTTCAGGCGATAGTTAATATATTTTTTATATTATATATTATAAAGTAAAAAATGTATAAAAAGGCGATGCCTTCGTGGCTTACTGAGAAACGTACAACACTTGGAGGTCCTATGTTAGGCTTTCAAAACAACTCTTTGGCCTGATACAGGCATTAATTGTTAATTTATACAGACTGTTACTATTTCGATATTACGAATATTTCTCAAGCGTTAGTGTTTTATTAAAAGTGTAAAGGTATATTTTTTGTTATCTATATATATAAATGAAAAATGGTCTTCGTTTGAGGCTCCTTCACGCCTAAACCACTGATCGTATCGACATGAAACTACCACCATTCGATGCGAAATTTTTCCTAGATGGTTTATGGCTATTTATTTATTAAATTCCAACGTTCCTTCATTTTTTTATTGCTGTTTTACTTTTATGAAAATTTATCCATACGGACTTCACCGCGGAAACATTCGGGGAGGCTTCCTAGAACCTCTAAACGTCAACATCTGTTAAAAACTCGATTTTCGAAATATTTCAATTTTCTTAGCGGGAAGTTAAAAGAAGAATAATAAAAATATGAAAAAAAATAAAATAATGAAACATAAAATTTATTTTAATTCGTCCAGCAAAGCGGGCGCGAAACGGCTAGTACTTACATAAATAATAGACTTACTAATTGTGTAGGCAAGAAACGTCTGTGCACTAGAATTTAATCGG